GGTGATATTGTCGCGGGGGATAAGACGGCCACCGTATTGGGCAATGCCGACTTGGATGTTGCCGATAGGCAGCGGGCCAAAGTACTTGTCGTAGTGGTTGTAGTAGCTCTCAAACTCAGAGTATTTAACGGTGTAAGTCATGCCAAGACCATCCAAACGGGCGACGAAGGGGGCAAGAATGGTCTCGACCTCTTCGGCGGTCTTGTTGTAGGCATTTATAGGAGCGATCTGAAAGAAGCTGGAACTGAAGTAGTAGACGACCATGGTACCAGCGTCAACCATGCCGGTAATCTCCTCATGGAAGGCATCAATGGCATTGAAGAAGGCCTCCTTATCGTTGTCAGCGGCCATCATCACCAGAGTGGCACCACCGAACTTGGCATCAGGGTGAGCCTTGACGGTCATGGAGGTGACAACACCCCAGTTGCCCGGGCCACCGCCGGACAGCGCCCAAAACAGATCAGGGTTCTCGGTCTTGGAAGCGGTGAGGAGGGTGCCATTAGCAGTGACGACCTCCCACTCCAGAACGTTGTCAGCACTAAGACCGAAGCTGGTGGAGAGGGCACTGTGACCACCGCCCTGGGTATAGCCTCCAGCGAGTCCGACGGTCGGGCACTCGCCGGTGACAACCGCGAGACCGGCATTGTGCGCGACCTCCATGACCTGGAAGCCCTGGACACCGGCGCCGACCTTGATGGCCTTGCCCTTGTACGCGGCAGTGTTCCAGTCAGCGACTGCGGCGCTGTTCATGTGGTGCGTCCAGACGGAGAGAGCGCCGGCACCGGTAGAGCGACCAAGGTAGTCGTGGCCGGTGCTGCGGACGATGAAACGGATGTTGTGTTTCTGAGCGAATGCGATGGTGGCCTGGACATGCTGGGAAGTCTTGGCGTCCACGGCGTAGACGACGTAGTTGCCCAACAGACAGGCACGGGACTCCGGCTGGAAGGGGTCACAGCTCTGGTTTGCAAAGAAGGGGGCCATGATGGAGCTGGAGGAGTTCATGCTACATAGAGGTCAGCAGCGGTCTGCCAAGAAACCCCGAGCAAATCAACGTACTGAATCTCCGAATACTGCCATTCGCTCTGCAGCGAAGCACAAGCGGCCGCATCGTAGGTCGGGTCGTGGCAGGGTGAGCCCAAAGGAACGGTAGCAATCAAGTTGCCGCCAACGGTGGTGTTGAGGGCATTCCACTGCGCCGTGGCAGGCCAGCAGCTGTCACCCGGGAAGCATTTGCAATCGGCGGCGGCACGCTCGACCACGCTAGCGCCTCGGACCGAGTGGCGGCCCCGAGCAGCGAGCGCCGCGCCGGCAAAAACCGCTTGAAGGACAAAGCTCTTCATTTGACTGCTTGGCGCGGGCAGAGAAGAGAGATGGTGAGGAAAGATGGCGTGCGGTGGAACAAAGATCGACACTCGGCTGACGACTCAGCTCGCGGGGAAGATGAAGGGGGAAAGAGAAAAGAGCGAAATCCTTCTGGCTTGTTCTACCGGACGGAACATCTCAGCTGGGCAGCCATGAGCAGCACTTTTAGTATCCTGCATGACTGGGGAACCACGCAGACGGGACCACAGCACGAAGGCCCATCTTGTGGGATGAGGTCTTCCGACTTGGGATTGGCGCCGAGATTTGGGCACTGTTGAAGGTGGCTTTGCACTTCCCCCGTCCGGGCCGTGGAAGTCTAGCGTGTTTACTACCAAGTGAACACACATCGAAACCCGCTCAGAGGGGCCGCTGTTAATGAGCCTCCTAATGAGCGACCCGGTCCTGGCTCAGTTCTGGTGCTAACCGGATGATGGGTGAACGCTTCATCAATTCCCTGCCAAGCGCGGCTTGGGTTGTTGAGGCTGTGGGGTGAGGAGAGAGGAACAAGATTATATCAAGCGAAGACCAGGGATTTACGGCTGCCAGCCCTCTTCGACGACTTGATGGCGGTCACTGGTCAGCACCGCGTCCGTACTCCACATACTATGTAGTCCCGATGTCTCCGCTCACACCTCGCTTCTACTTTGTAGCATCCGGCCAGCGGACCTATCATCTCCGTGCTCCTCCCACAAGGCAACGAGGACACGGATCGTGAGAAGCCCCTCCTCCTTGTTTGTCTTGCCATAGCCAAGTTTGGGTGGGCATACTTCCACAGTCTTGTTCAGCGGGACTTCGAGGGCGGCGCAGATCAAGTGATCTAGGGATCCCCAGCAGTATCCCTGACGGTATCGCTTGTGCTCAAAGGTTCGATGGCCTGCAAAAACTGCTACCTTCGTCGTCGGAGAGTTACATGTGCATTTTACAAGACTAGGCGACGGGCTTTCGAGAGACTTTAATCCTTTTTCGTTAGAGTTCTAAGAAAAAGCAATGTATCTTCCAGCCGTTGGTCGCATAGACCGCACTTGACAAGAAGAGGGCAGATGGATACGGATCGACAGCGGAGTTCTCTTCCATGTAGTATTTTTCTCAGAGAGTCAGTCGATAGTCAATCGACCGGCACGCTACGCCTTTCGGAGATGAACGTGCATGGATCATCAGCAAAACTCTATTCATGCCATCGCTGTCGATAATGAAGCCCCCACTGCCTGATCCATGTTTTTATAAGATAAGTGGTGGAATGCTGCCCCTCACCACCTCCATATGTACAAATAAGTGAAGAGCGAACACCAAGGGACTGGCCGCGGTCTAACCCAAATCTTGCTGTCCTGCCGATAGAATGCAATGCATCCGGGGTTCCTTGGATTCAGTATCGTACGAGGCAATGCGTCGACGGCAAGAACATCTGGTTGCAACCCGCGGTTCGGCAAAACGTTGATCGGACCAGGGCGTAAAACAAACAAAGACCTGGTAACCGCATCGTTAGGCCGACCCCTCGGGAGATTGGAAGAATCATTGTCTCTTCGGACTAAGGGTTAAGGTGACGGCAAAGCAGGATCGAAACGTTCATCCAAACTCGATCCGTACGGGATCATGTGTCCCGTTGCGACCAACTGTAAAGGAAGTCCTAACATACATAGTACCCTACTCTCAGAGTAGCTGGGATCATCAGAGCTAACCGACGCCATTGGGAAGTGTTGGTGGGACTTGTGCACATCTGCGTCTCTCGATCATGTAGGATGTGCATCAGTCTACGTAGTATCCGTACTACTCTCGGCAGAACCGCAGACTGATCAGGGCCGATCGGCCATTACAACCTTGATAGAGGCACAGACGTGTTCTCGCCATCCCAGTCAACAGTCTACAATAGTTGTGGTGTAAAGCCAGCGGCGGTCATTTGGACGTGGCACATACGCTGACAGACACTTTGTTTTCTCATTCGGATCCGGAAGGACTTTCGCGGAATTCCTCCACTTCAGGGTGCTTGAGTCACGATAATACTGAAGACCCTGCATTTTATTTCAGTTTTTAAATTAGCGAGGCTTGTTTCTCCCTCTCCCTCTCCCTCTCTCTCTCTCACACACACTCTCTCTCTCACTCACACACACACACTCACTCTCTCACTCCCTTTTTTTCCTTCCTTTCCCCCCCCCCCGTACGATAGATACCCCTGATTCCGTGGAGCTCCCAGTGCTGGTGTCCTTCAAAAGCGGGGTGTCGTTCCACGAGGATCCCTCCGCCCCGTAACGGCCCGGGAGAAGCATTCTAGACAACGCCACCCGCGCCCAAGCAAGATACAGCCTCGGCTAAAAAGCATTGTGGCCTTTCTGGAAGACTTTCAAACTGGGCGTAAAGAGGCGGGAATGCAAACGAACGCTACGTTGGCCTCGTCGACGTTACAGGGCGCCTCCAACTGCCATTCTCTGGTCCGCAGTTACGACCAACGTCGGCGTTTTTCTGGGTCGATGGAACATATCAGGGCCGCATGATGCACAAGGTTGGAGCCGGTATACACGGCTTTACATCCGCAGTCAGGGGAAGCCTCTCCTCCTCAAGACGTCTACCCTGCGCCAGCATTATAGGTTACGCCTTTGCCGCATGCGGTGAATTTCCCGAAACGATGCCTTGGCCAAGGCTCTCCTCGTCTCATCTATCACGTCAACTGTGAATGTATCATGGATCAACCCTTCTCTGCTTGACGTTCCACTGTCATATCTGCTCTGATATGTTGACACATCTCGCAGTCGTTTGACTCGCCGTGAAGGGCACATTTCTCGCCGTTGCGCGGACTGATGGATCACGTCAGTGATATTACTATGAAAAAAGGGATTGATTAACTCAGGATGGTGTCGGACGGCGGCTCGCTTTTTCTCGCTTAACACGACTTGCTCTGGGCCTAAGGTTCTCAGAACCATTATCAGAAATCATTATTCAACCTTACTGACGCATGCTTGCGATTTCAGGTCGACAACCAGGGCGGGGACTGTTGCCAGCAGCTGAATAACAACAACCATCCCTGGTAGCGCGCTGATTAATAGTGCGACGTACCATTATAGTATAGTACTAGAGCGTGCGTAGTAAAGACGTACTCTAGTTTCCACGACATACGGAGTACTACGCAGACACTGGTACGGCAACAGGGACCGACAGCGATCAAGGCTTCCAGAATCCTAGCCGCATTTCTAACTCGGAGGTGGCATTCAGAGTGAAAGGTCGTATTAACCGGTTGCGTTTGGCAAGATGTGGACCGGGATCTGCTTGTATCCGGAGCCTCCTGGATTGCGACGCCGGTAACCTTACCGGTGGGGGCCAATCATGAAAGTCTCAACCCCTGAGCGTCCTCGTGGCTTTCTCCATCATAGCTTTTGCGAAGGCGCGGTTTCCAAGCGAGGAGATGAACTTGGCCATTGAGAGAGATCTGAGGAACCAGGGCGTGTCTTAACCAGAGACCCAAACAAAGTTGATACCTGCAGATCAGCCTGGCCGTTACGGATAGTGTAAATGTGATATCTTCGCGTACGCCGGTAGGGAATAGCCTTCCGGTCTAAATACTCGGATCAGCCCTTTTCACAGGGTCGGGTCGGGGCCCATGTCGCAAGAATATGAAGAAAGAAAAAAACCGGAGAAGGCGGGCAGATATTTGTACATTAGTCCTCCCTCCACTCCGCTCCTCTCACTGTCAATGTCAGATCACTTCCGTAAACGTTAGACGGACGATGATGTTGACGAACTGATTGCCACATAAAGCGGTCCAACACCAGCCGGCTCTGGAGCCCTGTCTTCTTATGCTACTCCTCCTTCCTCCCGCCCGGATCTTCGGTAATATCCTTCGCACCTCACCGCGTCCCGACGACGGGTCAGTTCGCTGGCCTTCGGCCCTGCGGGTTAGCATCGAGTCTACCCAGCACAGAACTAGTACTGGAAACTCTCTTCGAATCGCCAGTCACGATGGATGCGCCGTGGACGTACAACACCCCTCCGGGAACGGAGACCTCGGGCGTGCATATCGCGACCGTCGCTCTGGTTCTTACGGCAATGTCGCTGGTAATCATGAGTATGCGACTGTATGTGCGTGTCATTATGTTGAACGCAGCCGGTTTAGGTACGTCGAGAATATCGAGATATCATGGAGCAAAGTAGGGCACTGACATATGCATGCAGACGACTGGGTCATCGTCGTAACGTGGGTTGCGGCTTGCGGTTTCGCAATAGTCAGCACGATTCGTAAGCGATTCCCTCGCGAGAAGCCTTCTCCAGATGCTAACGGATACGACAAGAAACTAAATGGGGCCTTGGACTCCAGAACATCGCGGACATGCCCAGCCAGAACCTCTACAACTTTGGCTTGTTACAGTATGCCGGTGCGCCCTTGTAAGTGCACAGCTGTATCTCCAGAACAGAGTTGGCGCCTTGCTAACCTCCATCAAAGCTACATCAGCAGCATCCTCGGCTTCAAGATAAGCCTGCTACTCTCTTACCTCCGCTTCATTCCCAAGGGTGCCTACAGAATAGGAACATTCATCACCATGGGTATGTGTGTTGCATATCACTTCATGTTTCTCGTGGTCCAGATAAACCTCTGCACACCGGTAGGTCTTGCCTTTGTCAGAAGAATGTTCGTCCAGTCACTGATAGCCTCAAGATTGCCAAGCAGTGGGACCCAACAATCACGAATGGCTCCTGCATTCCAGGAGTCCCCTTCTACACCGCCATGTCCTTGTTGACGATCTTTTTTGACCTTGTAGTGTGAGTCGGACTAACTGCCTATGCTGTGTTTCTCCAGACCTCTTCGACTGACTGTATGACTACCAGCATGTTCCTCCCCTTCCCAGTACTCGCGAGCTCGAAGATCCAAAAGCGCAAAAAGGTTGTGCTCCTCGGCCTCTTCGGCCTCGGCGCCTTCATCACCGTCATCCAGATCATCCGTATCCAGACCGTTCGCGCGCTCGCAAACTACCTCGACTCGGCGCCTCTCATCATGTGGTCCGCGGTGGAGAGCAACCTCGGCATTATTGTCTGCTGCGTACCGACACTTGCCCCACTCGTCAAGTACTTCAACGAGAAGAGCAGGTCGGGGAGCCGGAGCAACAAGTACGGCGGCCCCAGCGGCCACGGCAGGTCTGCGAAGAGCGGCAACGTGGGAAGCAGGTACGCTCTGCAGAGCTGGCGGCCAGGAATGAACGGGATGCAACCGCTAGGCAGTGGCACCGACCGCACTGAAAGCGGCGTGCGTCACTCGAGGACAGGCAAGGGGTCTGATGAGGAAAACGCGGACTACCAGGGCTCGCCGGGTATCATTAAGAAGACGACGGAGTTCGTGGTCAGAAGCGATCCAATAGTACCAGGGCAAGCTGTCTAAGGGGTAGTGGATGGGGAAGGGGGGGGGCCAAATGGGTCATGATGACTTGGTATGTTGAAGTGCAAGCATATGAATATTAGCATGACTGCTTATGGCACTTTGGGCATGCAGGATGTGCAGGTCATACGCAAACCTGGATCGTAAAACTTATCTGCAACGTATCGACGTGGCGCCAATTGGAAACCCCGAACTTGACTTAGATGCTTATCGTCTTCTGTTATTGCCCAATCGTTGGATTGATTCAATTGGGTCGCCCATCAAAGCAAAGCTCGCGGTTGTTTCCGGTATACCTGACTCGTTGTCCGCTGCCGAATCCTTCAACTTGTTCGAGATGCTCCACTCAAATCAAAAGATCATTGCTAGTAGCCACCGAAGTCATTGGAGTAGGGATGCTGTCGTGACCAAGGGTTTGAAGAAAAAGAAGAAGAAAAAACGCGTTCTGGACTGCGGAAGACTAATGATTATTCTGCAAACAAGGACAACATGAGGATAAGAATGAGCACGAACAGCTGAGTTGACAGTATCATTGCCTGCCGCCGAAGTCGGTTGGGAAGCCATCTGATCATGTCCGATTCCACAAGGATGTACCTTGGGGCTTTGTTTCCCAATAACGCAATGTCAGTTCAAAGAGAGAAAATCTGCCCCAATGTAACCAAAGCCGCTTGCCCTGTGTCGCCGTCTCCGTCGCCCCTCATTACTCCTTGACGTCCAGGTTTCAACGGCAATGATATGTACCTGGGAAAACTAAGAAGATTGACTGAAGAACTCATCGGCACCGAACTCTTCTCTCTTAATCGAAGCACCACCATGGTTCCCCTCGCCGCCCATGTCTCCTTGCATTCCATCAAAGTATTGTCGGTCGTCTTCGGGTTCCTGATTCACGGACAGACCGGGGCTGTTGGACGCCGCAGAGTTGCAGCGAGAGTGAATGTTACCGTTCCCCGTGTGGGCGCGGTAGGCGTTACTGCCGCCGGCAAACTTTTGGACGCGTCCACCCTGGGTGTGGCGGAGAACACCGACGTCGTCCTTCATGAGCTCCTTCATCTCGCGGATCTTCTTGCGGACCTCGTAGCCTTTGTGCTTGTTCTGCATGGCGTTCGCAAAGGACTCGAGGTTGACCATGGTCTCAGTGTAAATGGTGGTGTCAGCGCGTACGTCTTGGAAGTCTTCGTCATCATAGAGGGCATTCTGGGCACTGATGTTGCTGCCCCAGTTGAGCATGTTTGAGTTCTGTTTGACGACTAGGTGACGGAAGATCTCGGTGGGGTACTTTCCACCGTTAATGGCGACGGCGGTGATGACGTCGCGCTGGGTAAGAGTCTGGCCCTTGGCGACTTTGTCTATGACGCGATGGTAAAGGGGATGGTCCTTCGTCTCCTCACGCCAAAAGCTGGTTGCAATGTCCTCGAGGATGATTTCGAGGAGCTGTGAGTCGACCCTGGTGATGAGAGTCTTGATGTATCTGCGGGCCTCGCCGATGGCATCCTGGAACCATTCATGATTGGCCTGCAGAACAGCCTCGCTGACCCAAGCCTCGGTGTGGCAGCGGATGAAGAGGTCTTTTAGAACGCGATTGTATTCGCCGTCGTAGTTAACGGGAACAATGGCCTCGAGGGCGAGGAAGTCGACTAGGTCTGGACGTCGCTCTCGCTCGGGGATGTTCTTGTCTTTGAGAGAGTTGCAGAGCGACTGGTAGATGGTATTGTCTGAGATACAGCGGCGGAAGGCATTGGCGTCAATTCGAGACTGGATTCGGCCCAAAAGTGCAGGGGTGTAGGTGGCCGTCTTGCGTATGTTGTTCTTGGCCTCCTGAACGCGTCGAACGCGCTCTTCGGGGGTAATGAGGGCTGTACCACGGTCACGACGGTTCGCCATGTTGAAAGAGTCGATGTTGGTGTTGTTGTTAAACGCGACAATCAAGTTGCTGAATATGCTTGCCTTATCTGACTTGGTTGGCCCTGCTGTGGCTTTGTAAGAAAAGGCTGAGTTACGACAGAGATCAGAGCCTATACCTGTATACTTGACAACAAGTTGAAGACAGTTTGAAGGTCTTCAAAATCAGTGACGTTTAGGGGCCTCGACTTTGGTGGCTTTCTGCAGCTGTTGGCGTCTAAGTTATGTGTTGTGTCAAGGATAATCCAAGAACACACGCAAAAGAACCTGGAGAAACAAAAGAGAAAGGCAAAAGACAGTGAATTTCAAGAGAAAAAAGTGAAGTTGAAGGGTTAGGTGAGTAAGTAAGTGAGTAAGTAAGTGAGAAGAAGTGAAAATGAGAGAGAATGTGGAAGGGTAAAGGATGGCGGTGAATGTGAGGCAAGACGCCGGTTGGGTTTTGCAGAGGGAAGGAGCAACTGTCTTGGGTCTGGAAGCAAGCCAGAGGCTGCTGGAAAAGAAACTTCGGATAATTAAATTTGTATTTGATTGTTTGTACTCAGAGTGAATATGTGAAAAGATTTCCAGAAATCTGCTCTCTGTGGTTGCGGTTAGTTACTGTAAAGACGGCCTAAGACGAGGTTTAGAGTGTGACATAAAATACGTCCTCTAGTGCTTTTTCTGGCCGTCCTCATTTGCCTAAGATATGAAGAAAGAAGCGCTTTATTTTTATTCTCCATCGTTCTTCTATCTTTCGTCGGTCTCGCCGTCCTTCAACATTCTCATCGGGACTGTAGGGGATGATGATGGAGGACGGACCCAACCTAAAGTTACCGCAGAGAATATCTTAGTTATTGGAAAGAATAATCGGGGGCTGTGGCTTGATGATATCACTTGATTTATGACGAACCTAGACCAAACTTGAATACAAATGATAATGACTCGCTTAATTGCACTATCGGATGAAGTATTACTACTAAACCTCGTTGCATAGTAGTGTTTACTTGTATCAGAGAACTTTGTCATATTTGGTATCTTTCAATTTACTACGCAGTGAGGCGAACGGTCGCTAGCCGCGTTCTCATGTCTGTCGTGAAGTCGTCATCTCACGAGCCGGGAAAAACTAGCCCCTTCCATAAATCGAAACAACATTTGCCGAACGAAAAGCAACAAATTCCAGGACCGTAATTCGTAAAAAAGATGAACCCGAGATAAGGGTCACCAAGACTAGCTCAAGTCGCCAATGGGTTGATACCAAGGATTCTCATGCCATTCTCGAACACTTGTCTCGCATTCTCATACAGCACAGCTCGCGCAAGATCAAGCTTTGGGTCCTCGGCCGTTTCTCCCTCCTCTTCCTCGCCCTCCTCGTCTCCTCCTTCGTCGCCATCAAGACACACGACAACCTGCTCGGCCAGCCGATACAGAAAGGTCAGGACAGCAGACGGCTCGAGTGTCTTGTACGCTGCATTAACAACATCGGGATACTGGGCCATGAGCCTAAGGAGGTTCGTGTACTCTTCTTCCTCCAAGTGGGAATAGTCGACCTCTTCGAGCGCCGTGGGATCGGCACCAAGCTCTTTGATGGTTAGACAAAGACGGGTGTAATGTAACTGCAGAGCAGCCCCCGTTTCGCCTTCGAACTCTGTCATTTTCTTGCTGTCGAACGCGTAGCCGTTAGCGCGCTTCGTGTGCATATCTTGTGCAATAAGCGAGGTGATGCCGAAAGGCTCAGCGGCGGCTAGTGGAGCCCCGGAGTTCTGTTCCGTGGACATGGCATCTTTGACGGCGTTGGCACACTGGTTTAGCATATCTCCCAGGAGATTAGCGTTGCCAAGCTGAGACGACAAGCCTTGGACCTTGCCAAAGTTGACGTGCTGGATCTTCTTGGCCAAGTCGTCGCGTCCCATTAGCTCGAGTGCCTTGATCACACCGCGGAAGTGGGAATCTTGCTCGGCGTTGACGACGTAGATCATCTTGTCGAAAGAGTACTGCTTCTCCCGGTCCAGGATCGCAGCAAGATCCCGGGAGAAGTACATGGTAGTGCCAGTGCGGTTCCGAATCATTCCAGTTCCGAGGCCCTTAGCGCCATGCTTCTTGAAGTCTATGAGCCAAGATCCGTCACTTTCTTCGGATATGCCCCTTTCTTTCAAAAGAGACTCGACCACTGCGATCGATCCTGATGTCACTTGTGACTCGCCGGCATACTCATCAAACTTGATGCCGAGGCGAGCATATGCCTTGGTGTAGTCTTCGACATAAACATCGCGGAACCTCGTGGTAAGGGCTACTGCACCGGCGTCGCCCTCCTCCATGCGCTTAAAGAAAGCGTCACGCTCGGCATAGATACCCTGAGACTCAATCTCGGCTGTATTCTTTCCCTCGTCTTTGGCCTTGAGACTCGCCTCTTGCTCGGGCTTGAATAATTCGTTAATCTGGTTGTGTATGTCCAGAAGATGCCGGATGGGGTCCTTGCTGAACTCTTCCTCCGACCCGAACTTGTTCCAGCCAACGGCAAGAAGGGCAATGTTCTTGCCCCAGTCTCCTAGGAAGTTCAGTCTGACGACGTCCCACCCCATACGCTCGTGAAGGTTGGCGATCGAGGCGCCGTTGATAGTGCTGCGAAGGTGCCTGCCTTCGAACTCAGCTGCTATGTTGGGAGACGAAAACTCGACCACGACCTTTTTCCGTCCACTCTCTGGAGATGAAGCGTCTCGCAGGCCATATGAATCGTCCGCGCCGTATAGCTCCTTTCGGTCGGCAATGAAAGGTACTACGAGTCTTGGGAGGAAGAATGGGTGGGAGAAGATGCGGATATGAACTCCATCGATGAAAGGGAACGTGTAAAGAGGCGATTTCGGGAACTGAGCGTCGTTCCATTAGTTTGGTCTCCTTGCGTCTGGAGGATATATTTTTTTTACTTTTTCAAGCAGCTCAGCTGCAGCATCGCCTTTGGCCTTGATTTTGAGACGAGGGAGGATAACAGCAAGGTCGCCCATGGAGATGGCAGCCGTTGACTGGATGGAATCATATGCAACCGCAGGGTCGCATGCTGAGATCTCAGCCACGATTTGGGCGATGTAGGATCGGAAAACGTCGAGCGGGCGTACCAACACCTCGGCATCGGGAAAATAAGGAAGAGGAGAATCGAGGCTGAGCCTCTCTAGCGAAGACTGGAGACCACTGATTGAAAGAGTCGCCATGATGGTTGATTCAAGCTGACATGCTTTTTTGCACTGCCTATCTTGCAGTATAAAGAGAGAGGGGAGGAAAACCTTATCACAAACGATGGAATTCCGATTTGGTTCTTCGGCAACCAGGCTGGATTGATATTGATATGGGTGGTGTGGTTGGGCATCGAAGTAGGCCGACGCGGCATGTCGTAATTGGCCTAAGTTTGTGTAAGTGCAGATGCAGGCTTACCAGTCAGAAAATGAGGCAACCATCCACATCAGTGATCGGTGAAAACAGGCTGCATTTGTTTTCGCTCAACCAGCCTCGGGGCAGATCAATCTGGCTTTTCTGGAAATAAGGCGACGAAAGTCGCTGTAACTTCACTTCTCCTGCTGTTCATCGTAGATCGGGTTCTGTTTGCGTAATCTGAAGCCTCCCTTTTCATGCCATCTCGAAACAGTATCCCAAAGTCGTGGTCACCAGGCGCTTATGCTGTTCGAGATAGAACACACCGAGGCCAATAAAGATAAAGCTTCTAAACGGCCAAAAATTGCGTAAATTTAGCGCTTTTATGTATTATTTCATGCCGTGTAAAGTGAGGTCAGTGACGTCGTAGGCAGACAGACTAGGGATGCTGCACGCTGGTCGAGGACCACAGCAACGTTCTCACAGTGCAACTCCGCGGTGGCTCTACGCACCAAAGTTAACGGAGGGAATTCAATAATAATGATTCCTAAAGCCCGAGTCTCCTGTCACTGCGCACGGCGGCCCTATGTTTCCCGCCTCTTCGTGCCGTATTCCTCCATCGGGTATCGTGAGTAGCGCTCGATACAGCCCCCGGCAGATCGCGATGTCTGCCATCCTCTCACTCTGTGTTTTCTCATAGAGTACCTTTACTATGTTTGGCCGAAATCCCCCAGAGTGTCCCGATCACGTGTCGGAATCCAGCTAGCTGCAAGGCGCTGGCCAGATGGGTCTCTCTGTCGGTCAATGGCGCTACGTCGCTGACGCCAGTCGAGCACGAGGAAAATTCGGCAGAGAACAGCGGATTTTCCTGCAGTCTGCTATCGCGTCTCGTCCACAAGGCTAGCTGGTTGATTTCCCAGTCGCCGAGAAGCAGCTGGCTTTGTGAAGGCTCCATCGGATTCGATTCATCGTGTCCCGCGACTCGTCCCGTGGGTTGGCTTTTGCCCAAGTATCAGCAGACACTTGTGACAATGCTAGACCGGCCTAAAAGCCTCATGCCCCTCCGTCTAGGGGTGCTGATGGAACCTCTACTGGGTCCGTCCTCACCTTCTCTATCCCCCCATGCGGCTTGGTCATGCCCTCTGGGTCTAAGCCGTCTCATCCTAACCGAAGTAGCCATTGTGCCTGCATGTCAAGTAATGGATATCCTTGTTTGCCAAGATCTATAATGTTTTCCTGTCATATTTCCTGACTGAATGAAAGTTTTTCTATTTGGGCGAAATGATGACGAAAACATTGAGGTTCCTAAGACACCAAAGACCATAAATATAGTAATGATGATGATGATGATGATCAAACAACCGGGATAATAATAAAGAGAAATCTTTATTGAAGTTCTGATAGGAAGCAGTTTACCTGGTAAGCTAGAAGTATATACCTAAACAGTAAAACTCATCAATTAAATCCCCTTTAGACGTTTGACATAAAAACAGTGAGAATGGCGCCATAAGCAGTTGTCACCATCATCTCCACGCTGCTGACTTTGAGAAAACTAGAAACTAGACATGAGAATGCAACAACACATGCTGAGATGACTCCTAAATGCACTTCTTTGCTAGGTTGATATGAAAGCGCCGCCAAAGGGGTCACCACGAAGATTCCTACCAATCTTGTAATGAAGAATCGAGAAATCATCTCGGCGATTAGTACGGTATTTTGGTAGGTATTTTGGTAGGCCCGCTTATGATCTTGCTTGGTTCCAGCGATATGCTGTCCCGTCTGAAATCTTCATCAAGTCTTTTACGTGAAGGTGGCATGTCGGGCAGATTCAGTCCTGCTCGGTGAACAAGACGATTGAGTTCAGATTTTTCGCCCTCGAGAAATTGGAGGTTCGGCAAGTGGATCGTTCCGAAGCGGCTAAACCCATACAATGTGACATCTTCATCTGCTGTGCTGCTTTGCCAATGAGCGCGAAACTGCTCTTGTAGAGCGTCGGATACCAGTTTCTCCAGTTGTATCACCCTTTGCACCTAAAGAAGAAGGCTAATGAGATAATACTTTCATTGTAGTTAGAGGTTCCAATATCCAAGGCGCCAATAAATACACATGGCGCTTGTTAGTCTGCCTTCTCTTGATATCTGCCAAACAAGCTCGCGGCGGGGGTTCATATGCAGAGCAATACGTACCATTCAACGAATGAAATGTAGCTGGTACCAGAAGATTAGGTATCCATGTCTACCATACCAGTGTCAAGCCAGCTGCCGCCAACGGTTGACAGGCTACTCACTCACCACTTGTTATCGGAAGCAATACCGTCCACGTAGTTCACCAATTCACTCCCCCAGCCAATAGAACTCTGTCTGCCTTGCGTGCATAGCTACGTGGACCAGCCTCCTCTCATGGCCCAAATCCTATCGGTCTCGAGCAGATCAACGAATGATATTACAACTGCTTTGATTGGTGGCAACTGCTCCAGAAGCGCGAAGTCCCACCCATTGGTACCTTCAGACCGACCTGGTACTGCCTACTCAACTTCTTCCACACCGACGACCAACCATACATGAGGTCACCCAAAACCAGCCCCCACAATGACTTCTAGGCAAACCTCACAAGAGTCATCCCGGCTATTCATTCAAATGTCCGGTGCACCGGGTTCTGGGAAGAGCACGATGGCGAGGCTACTGCGGCAATCGATTGGTGGACTGGTTATCGATCACGACATCTTTAGGTCCGCCCTTCTTGAGTATAACGACGTGGCATTTGACGAAGTAGCGAAACGCGCCTATCATCTCCAATGGTCACTCGCCGAGGACGCTATGAAACAAGGCCTAAATGTCATTATCGACAGTACCTGCAACTTTCAAGAGGTTCTCGATCAAGGATCTGCACTTGCTGAAAAACACGGTTTCACCTACTGGTACGTCGAGTGCAAGGTTGAGGACATCGACCTACTAGATGAAAGGTTGCGCTCGCGAGATTCGATGAAGAGCCAGCGAACTGGCGTCGATTGCCCCCCTGCTGCGGCATGCCATGCTCGTGCAGGCGAAGACTCTCGCAGTCTCTTTAAAAAGTGGATTGAGAACCCGTGCCGTCCGAAGCACCACGCTATTGTCGTGGATTCAAAGGATAACCCAGAAATACATCGAGACCACATTTTAAAGCAGATTATTAGTTAGTGTAATAGGATTCATGATAGCGATTGTGCTTCTATCTGAAATGCTGATACTGGAGGATGCAAGTTAGACCAAACCTCACCCGGAACCACAGGTTTCAATAGCTATTATCTGGTCTCGAATCCGGGGGTTCTCGGCTACAGCTTTTCCAACGCCTCGTTTCTGGAAGACACCGATAACGCCTGTGAAGAACGTTGCGCATCGCGGCACCACTTGGGTGATTTGATCTTCAGCAGTGTCTTCTTGGGAGTCCAAAGTATTCAAGGGATTGCAGCTCCCTTGAACATCATCCTCCGGGGTCTTTTGAGACTGGAACAGCCACACGCCTGCAGCGTACCTCAAGAGAATCAACGCTATCGCAAAGATAACGACCGTGATCACAAGCCATACAAACAGAAACCTTCTCCAGCTACGTTTAAATGTAAAAATATCGTCACAGCTGAACAAACCAGTAGTGATTATCAGCGGAAGCGTCAACTGATGTTGTCATTGTTAGTGTGATTGTCGAAGCAGCTTCTGCCAGGAATGACCTACGATGGTAATCCAAGCCAAGACTGTAGGCAAATGGTGAACCGGTGCCACAATATTCGATTGCTGGCAGTGCTTTGCAACGTGTGAGCAAGTTTCTATGTATGTGCGGAGCTGGGTAGTCTGAGACGGGGAAAAGATAAACCAGGCCATCAGCCATGTTGGTTCTTACAATCTTGCGTACGGAAGTCACCTCTACCATTTCTTTGCATTTCTGCTGCATATCTCCCAACCTCTGCCGTAGTTGTTCCAGGTTTGTGAAGGTTTTTCGAATCAGCGCGAGGTATGGGAAACAGATCGACGCATCGTCAGATGGCTCATTATAGTTGCGGAAATAGAGCACGTCGGTCTTCATGAATAATTCTCCACTTCTGACGTTTTCCTGCAGAACTTGTGCAAGCTCGTCCAAAACTTCTTTGAAGTACCTGAGACCGTTTTCGAGTTCATCAAACTCTTCAAGGATCTTTCTCTGCTTCCGTATAGGTGGCACCTGGTTCAGGGTGGGTGTGCGTACGCGTCTGATGAAATCCTCATGCCGCCTGATCTGAGGGAGAGTTAGATCCTTGAAGCAGAAAAGTCTTAGGTGAACAAGATCAAAAGCCTCCATGAATGAAACAGTTATGGGTTGGTATACTTACGAGCGCTGTCATCCGTAGTGTAACATGAGAGAGTAATGAAGCCCACTCCAGATGCACTTGGAAAATTCGAACGGCAAGGACGTGGATGAAGTACGGTCGAGGAGACCACTGGCTCTTACCTGCTTCCACTTTCCCCCGACAAAGTGGATCCGATAACGTCCCATCTGAGAAGTCGTTCTCGTAGCGAGTCACCATATCTGGCGATGGATCATCTAGAGCCTCGTCGAACCAAGTTTCCAGGAAGACTAATCCTGTCCATCGAGATTGGTCGTAGCCTGTAACTATGCAGCTAATGTTTGTTGCATAGATCCCGTCTGTGATAGCTGAATTTTCTTTATAGCCGGCAAGATGCCTCAAGAAGGTTACATCGCGGGAGAGCCTAAGTGTTTCCCCAGTAGCTGTACTTTTGCGAGTATCGTTCATAAGCTGTGCTGTAGATCGCCAGACGCGGAAAGGGAATGAAAACTGCATAGAAAACGTCTCAGGTCCTTCGGTCTGTGCACTGTTGTTAGGCATCTTCTTCCAAGTACCCTCTCATACTTTAACTTGATACAATGCGACATACCGAGAAAGACACGCCAATGGATGGATTCGCGCATGTGTAGTTCAGAATAAAATCCCCTAGCACCCGAAATAATGATTCCGGAGATGTTCCCACTAGAGCCATAATGCCCCAAGCATCCAGGTTAGCGACGTATCTACATGTAGCAATAACACGTTAGTCATGGTAGTCGCCTACGGGCCTAGATAGCCTGTGATCAAGCTTACATCAGCCTTCGGTCAGTGTCCACAACGCTGTCATCGCCATCTTCTCTATATCTCTAGTCAAAATTGCATGAGTTAACGTCTCTTTCCAGGTGAAAACAAGTAAGCACCTACCTTTTTACTCAGCTCATCGTATAAGGCTTGCGCTGTCAGACCTCCGAGGAAATCTCGCAGATGTGGTTCCGGACCGGAAACGTTTCCGTCGATTAGCAGGGCAATCTTTTCTTTCTGCGCTCTTTCGTCTCTATCAAGCAGATTTTGAATCGTAGCTTCGCGGGTAACATCAAGGACACAGTCGATTCGCTGTTGATCAGGGGCCCAGTTCTCTTCTGTTCTTAAGAAGATGCTGATGTCGTTTTCTCCTAGCTCTCGGGCATACGAAAACAAGTCGATGTACGGCGAGTTCTCCCAGCTGCGGGAGAACCCTCCTTGGCGACCATCGAAGAATCGTGGTGGCCAAGAGAAAGCACCATCATACCTCTCGTGATCTGGAAGATGCACATGTCTCGGCCTCGGCACTGGCGGTTCGGGTCTATCCAAGTCAACCGAGGGAGGCACGAGACCCGACACCTCTGCTCCGGCATTGTTGATCATTTAAGTGGACAGAGAATTCTATAATCAAGTTAGAGAACTCAAGTATACTAAGCTTTTTTTTTTTTTGCATTCTCTCCGCAACCCATGAAATCCCGGTACCAAAGTGAAGAGCCTACCCCGAACTCGAGGACCAGAAACCCATTCCGACTTTTCCATACCCTGTTATTTATGAACCACAAATGTCGAGTACCCCGATACAGTAAGTGTTGATACATGGGAGGCGCGGTGTACATATTTCTTCGAGACAACGTAGGAATCCTCCTCTCTGGAAGGAAAGAAGCCTTTGTGATATTTTGAGGGAAAGGGAAAGAAGTGATATTACGAGATCTGCGTTCCGGTAATTTGCACGGATGCTTATACCGGATGGCGGTGAGAATTATGGGAATCGTAATGCTGTGGTTGGTGTTGGCGGGTCTGTACTCTCTCCACCCTGCAACGAGAGCATCGAGGGTATCGACAGGTTGGGCACGGGTCGACAACTACAGTCATGCCACCTTGCCCACAATAGCACTACTCTGATTGTTAGCCGTTTCCTCGCCAAACCCGGATGGGTGTAAAGAGTGCGTATAGCACATGTACTGACACAGGTCCACATGAAGGCATACTTTTTTCTCGGGGGCTAGGGCAATGGTTCGTCGTCAGTGGCTGGCAGGCTGAGCTGAGAAGCTGTATGCTGGAAGAAATTCGAGTACCATTTTCCGGACGCGATGTAGTTCCGCTTCTTATCACTTTTCATCTGCAGAACGACCCCAAGTTTTCCCTTTTCTCAGTACCGTAAGGCTACTCTCGAGCTAGCCAATTGGGCAGGATTGCATACGGTCCATGAAAGATGCGGTCACGGTGGCATCAACATGGGGCTGACGAGGTGTGCCGGGAAATGGCCAGGATTGGTCCCCGATGCCGCTGCCGTGATGGATGTTGGATTTGGGCGTCGAGACTGAGATCGTCGTCAAGGCAGCGTGGCGAGGCAGTAGGCGAAAGTTCGATGTTGCCAGGTTTCCGCGATGCATTGTTGTCGTGTGGATGGTTGAAAGGAGGGAAGGGGGTCGCCCCTCAGCCTCAACAAAGTTCCAGGGGTGAGTGAAACGATGTGCGTGCTTGCAATCTCCGGTGGACACTAAGACTGTTTGGGTTACACGGCTGTAGTGTACGGAATTTTCATGGTACGCACGAATTTTATGACTGATCGGCTGCAGCTGAAGCGTCGTCTCGTCTCGCGATGTTGGGGGAGGCGTGCGCGTGCGTCTCAATCAATGATGCTGGTGTCCGAGAAACCACCTGAGATACCGAAGGCACACCATTACCGAAAAGTTCTTACCAACTCACAGCCAGCTGATCGAGACCTGCCTTGGCATTCGGCAGTACGCAGACGATGGAACTCGTGGCTCCAATAAACCAAAACTGGTGCTCTCTGTCATACACAATTGCCCGAAGAGATAAACGTGGTGCTTGCTGTTGGGCCCTCGTCATTTAAAAGGAAGGCTGACCAGTTGCCTCTCCCGAAAAACGGATGCCTTGCATGACGCCTTCCCGATGCCTCGCAAGTTTCCGGCTGCACAATTGGGCTGTAATAGCACTTTTGTGCTCTCTGCTTGACTTGTAGGTTATGGGTGCAAGCTCTGATGTGTCAGGCCGAACGGATCAAGGGCTGTTGCTTTGCAAGTGCGGGTGAAATCGCATCAGCGGTTCTATTCTAACATATTGGTTCGGCAAAGCAGCTACAGGCCAGGTGTTGCTAACCTTTTTTCATTGTCAAAAGAGCTGATATCAATACCGTATCACATGCAATCTGTCGGATGCGATATGATCAGGGTACTACATGCGCATTCTTGGAAAGAGGCTAGTTTAAGCCCTATCGTCATGCATCAACATGACTATTACCAAAGTGAGCAGCCTCATCGCAGTCCTTTTGAGCGATTTCTTCTTCCGAAACGCTCTCGTTTGACGGCATTGCCAACCGTCGCAGAAGTGCAGGGTAGTTAACAAATTCTGCCTGGTCTCGTTGAATGAGACCAGGATAAGATTCAGGGTGCTGCACCCGAAACGCAGGGATGCTAGTGGTACCTCTTGAGTGGATGTACCTGACCTTAGTATCACCCGTGTAACAGTGTGTTCTGCAGCCTGACCGGTCTGTTCACTACTTGTTGGCGTTTCCATGCCGGCGAGAACCCCCCCCTGTCTGTCCACTGTTTGCACTCTGTCTTTGCATATGTGGAACAAAGATGCGAGTAGTACAGTTTGGGTCCTAGAAGCGGGGTTCGAGGGAGGTAGAAGAGATAGGGGCAGGCACATCGGCGCACTTCCCGCTGCTGCTCCATCGCATAGATGAATCAGGATGTGCCCAGCCGGCTACCAACACCCTATGCAGGCAGCTGGCCATATTAGGGCAGGGAAGCAAGATTTCCTCCTCGTGTGGCACATATCACACGATAACTAAAGCGAATGGCGTTGAAACTGAACCGTGTGGCCAAATGGCGCAGAGGGAGTGGGGCAAAAGGGTACAAAGAAGGCTGCTCGCGTGTTAATACATTATGGGGGGATGCTTGACCTGTTTCATCACCTACTTCACTTCACAACCTGGCTGTCCGGGACTGGTACAGGGCACTCGACGGTCTGTTTTTGACCAAGGCAAGCAAACGATGGCGGGTCCAGTCGAGGTGGGACACAGCTGGAAGTTGAAATAGACGACGCCGATCCCCCCGGAATCGCGAGGCCGGAGCTCGCTCCGTTCCGCATCAGTCCGCCGAAGAGGGTCAAGTCTGGAAGATGTGGGTCCGTATGGTGCCTCTGATGGGATTCAAATAGGGCGATTTGTTCTGCATTTCGGCCGGCCGATTCCTCGTCCACCCCAGGCCGCAGCTGGGGTTCAGCGATGCACTTACGTAAGGTGCCTTACGTCAGATACCGGTACGTTAGCGGGAAGGAGGGATAGGATGCTCATCAGCAAGACCCCTGGATGCTTGCTCTTTCTTCGTATCCATCCATATTAGGCCTAGCGATGGGGGGATTAAGCCAATCGATAAGCTCGGATTGAGACCCTCGGAGGCAGCCAAGGGAGGGAGGAGACCGAATCGTCCCACTAGCAGGTCCAGGCCCTTATCTTACCCACCCACCTCTACCCGCCTTCCTCTACAGACTACCTACAGTACACTACCTACACATTTTCCTCTACCGATCTTTTTTTTTTTTCTAGTCTCCAGGGGCAGCGCCTTTAGCCCGTCCATTATCATCCGAACTCGATCAGTCCACTCTCTCTAACCATCAGACGGGGACGGACGGATAGTCAATCTGCACGTCACCTCGTTTCGGTTTGAGCAGCCTTGGTATTGGTGATCTTCAACGCAGCTAGGGGACGCCAACGCCGGTTTCCCAACGTGGGACCAGTCAAGGGCCGCCATCTCCCGCAGGGCCGCTGCAACGCAGACTAATGGTCACCGCATCGGGAGGCCCAGCCAACCACCGCCAAATAAATGGATCCCAACCGATCGGCTATTAGGAATTCATCCGCCACAGCACTAGGTCCTGCAGCTTCACCGGGGGGTGGGTTGGGTGGTGTTGTTTTCTCTGGCCGCCGGATTGTGTGATAAGACCATTACCCCAATGCTCAAGGACGACGCGTGTGTGTTGTGTCGTCAGACGGAAAGAAAAACAAATTAAGCGTCAGCACGTTTCGCCCTTTCCGCCGAGAAAGCCTCGACGGTCCCCATCATCCCACGAACTTGTAGCCCACGGGAAAGCTCCGACTAAAGGGGGACCGACCGGCTGCTTGCCATCAGAAAAAGGACATGTTGAGCCGGGTCCGGCGCCATGAATATTGTACGACGACTGCCCCCGCCCTAACCCGAGGCCTCCTCCGTGACTGACCGCAGACAGCCTCTCAATGGCCAAGGTGACGATCGAGTCGGTTCCGCCCGCGACAACTCGACGGGCGGAACCATCAGCAAACTGCAGCCGAGCGACTCCGACTCCAGCTCGTTAATGTCCCTCGTCAGCACCCTCGTGCCCGTCTTCATCTATACCGCCGTCTGCCTGCTCGTCTTCTGGGCCCTGCGCCGACGGAGCCAGCGCGTCTACTCGCCTCGCACCATCCTCAAAGACTTCTTCTCACAGCACGTCGTCCCAACCCCCAAAAACTCTCGTGACGCCGACCCAGACTGACCGCAGCCCAGTGAACGGGTCGCGCCGCTGCCCAAGGGATGGTTGAACTGGCTGAGGCCGTTCTGGTCCACCTCGGACGTCGAGATCCTCAACCGCTCTTCCTTGGACGCCTATCTCTTCCTCCGCTACTTGAAGGTCCTCAGCATCATCTGCTTCATCGGCTGCTGCATCACCTGGCCGACCTTGATGCCAATCCACGCCAACGGCACCGGCGGGCTGTCGCAGCTGGATCGCATCACCATCGGTAATGTGCAGAATCCGCACATCTTCTTCGCCCACGCCATCGTTGCATGGATCTTCTTTGGTAAGGGCCGCTCCGTCGTCTTGCCGCTCTCCTTTCCTCCCGTTGTACTGACGCCTTGTCTAAGGATTTATCCTCTTCACCATCTACCGTGAATGCATATACTACATCAACCTCCGCCACGCCTACCTCTTGTCGCCGTACTACTCCAAGCGCCTCTCGTCCCGCACCGTCATGTTCAGCTGCGTCCCGCCCAGCTACCGGGACGCCGCGCGTCTGCGGAAGCTCTTCGGCGACACCGTCAAGAACGTCTGGATCCCGCGCTACACAAGCGACCTCGAGAGGCTCGTCAAGGAGCGCGACGAGACGGCGCTGCGCCTCGAAAAGGCCGAGATCCGGCTCATCAAGCTGGCTAACAGGCGGCGGAACAAACAGCTCAAGGCCGCCGCCGCCGCCGCCGCCGCCGCCGCGAAACCGGAGAACGTCTCGCCCCCGCGCTCCGCCGCCGCCTCCGAGCGCTCGGACGACCCGGAGAAGGCCCACCCGTACCTCGACAGCACCGCCCTCCCGGACGTCAACGGTTCCGTGGCCGCCCAGTGGGTCGGCGCCAGCGAGCGCCCCCACCACAGGCCCCTGGCCAACTTCTTCCGCCGCGTCGACACCATCAAGTGGTCCCGCAACCGGATCAAGACCCTGACGCACCAGATCAACAAGCTGCGTCGCAGCCTGCTCAAGGGCGAGGGCCGCCGCCTGCCCACCGCCTTTGTCGAGTTCTCGTCCCAGGCCGACGCCGAACGCGCCTACCAGACCCTGGCACACAACCGCCCGCTGCACATGTCGCCGCGCTACATCGGCATCCGCCCCGACGAGGTCGTGTGGGCCTCCGTCCGCATGCAGTGGTTCGAGCGCATCGTCCGCGGCTTCGTCATGCGAGCCGCCATCACCGCCGCCATCATCTTCTGGTCTGTTCCCTCGGCCTTCGTCGGCGTCATCTCCAACATCAGGTTCCTGGCCAACCTGTTTCCTTTTCTCGTGTGGGTCACTGAGCTGCCGGGCCCCGTCACGGGTATCATCAGTGGCCTGCTGCCCGCCTTGGCCTTGTCCTTCCTCATGGCCATTGTGCCGTGGCTTCTACGAGGTACGAGTTTCTTTCCTCCCTCCTGATAAGAATCTTGCTTCTGTTGCCCAGGCTGACTCTTTTCGCAAAGGCTGCGCCAGGCTCGCCGGGATCCCGTCCCTGTCCCTGATAGAGCTCTTCGTCCAGCACGCCTACTTCGCCTTCCAGGTCGTTCAGGTCTTCCTCGTCACGACCTTCACCTCGGCCGCCTCCGGCGCTCTCTCGCAAGTCATCCAGAACCCTCTCTCGGCCAAGGACCTCCTGGCCGACAACCTGCCCAAGTCGTCCAACTTTTACATCTCGTACATCCTCATCCAGTGCCTAGCCGTCGGCGCCGCCTCCCTCCTCCGCGTCTTTGACGTCTTCCGCCACCACGTCATGGCCAAGGCCTTTGACAACCCCCGCGGTCTCTTCAGGATCTGGCACAGGGACCGTCCGGTCCATTGGGGAGCCATGTTCCCCGTTTTCACAAACATGGGCGTCATCGGTAAGTCGGCCGCCGCTAAATATCGTCATGATCGTGAAATCGTGCTGATTTGTTCGACAGCCATCAGCTACTCCTGCATCGCGCCCGTTGTCCTCGGCTTTGCCACCGTCGGTCTGTATTGCATCCACCTCGTGTACAAGTACAATCTCCTCTACGTCAGCGACTCTTCCATCGACACCCGCGGCCTCGTCTACCCCCGTGCGCTGATGCACCTCCTGGTCGGCCTCTACCTCGCGACCATCTGCCTCATTGGACTATTCGCGTTGCGCTCGGCGTACCCTCCCATGATAATGATGATCGGCTTCCTCATCTTCACGGCCCTGGTGCACATCTCCCTCAGGGAAGCCGTCTCCCCGCTGCTCTACAACATCCCGCGCGCCCTGGCCCTGGAAATGGAAGAGCTCGACGGCGGCAGGTACCCCCAAGACGATTTCCTGACCGACGCCGATGTCACGGCGTCGTATCCCGATGTTTTCGACCACATCGAAGAGGAAGACGACGGCCCTGTGCGCCAAGTCAACGGGAGCCGGGGTCTGGAGGGCGCAAGCGGCCTGATGGCCTCGGTGCACGACTGGTCCGCCAATGCTCTTGCCAAAAAGCTCCAGACGACGGTCGAGAACTGGGGGCTAGCCGGTCCGATCGCCTACGCCTCGCAGTGGGTGTACCCGGACCCGTCCGTCGAGCCCAACTTCCTCCTGCGCTGGCTTCACCCGGGCGTCTTTGACGACTTTTCTACCCTCCGGCGCATGATCCCCGGCGACCTCCCGGACCCCACGCAGACGTACCCCCCTGACTACGCCCGCCGTGCCTACTGGCCGCCCGAGATGACGTCGCCGGCGCCGATCATATGGATCCCCAAAGACCCGGCCGGCGTGAGCAAGCAGGAGGTGGAGCACTGCCGCAAGGTCGTCGTGTGCTCGGACGAGGGTGCCGAGCTCAACGGCAAATGCCGTATAGAAGTTGAGGTTGAAAAGGCGCCTTTTTGGGTGCCGCGTGTTCTGTATTAGAAGCTTTCTAGCGAGGCGTACGGTGTACGTGTTGGGTATATATGGTTAACACCGTAACATGGATAGCCCCGTAATGTAAGTCAGGCTAAGACGGGAACCTTTTTAATATAAGCTCTGCTGCTTTCGGGCAAACCATCCCTCGGCTGTTTCTCACATCTTGCTAATCGTCTCCTCGATGACCCGCCATGTCTTCTCGGCGACGAGCATCTGCGCTAGGTAGTTGCCAGCATGATCTTTCCCCTGTATGTAAACTAGACAGGGCGGGTGTATCCGCATCCGGGGGGTATTGCACTGCCAGACGATCCTGCCCCTCGGCGTCATCCTCTCCTCCGCATCTCCCCCTTCCGTCCTGACGATAGCAGGGCTGAAGTCAATGACCTCATGAAACCTCGCCTTGGAAACATTCGATACGGAAACGACGAAGCCGTTCGGCTCTGTGAACTGGTTCGTGCTCCCGCTTTCCGCGACGGCCTTGTACGTCAGCTTCGTCGAGGCGTAGACCTGGGCGTCTGCGAGCTGCGACCGGACCGAGTCCCGGATGAGCGCGGCGGCCTTTCCGAACGGGCCGTGCAGAAACTCCAGAGCCGTCGTGCTCGTCCAGTTATACGCCACGAGATTGGACACGTAGGCCACGTCGGTGGCCATGTCTTCCTCGTGCAGGCGGCCGCGGAGGTCAAGGGCGGTGGATACCGCGATCGGCTTGGCGGGGGATGTGATGTGGGAGCAGGCCAAGCGGACGAGCCAGGCCGTGAGAATGTCGCTGTCACTCAGGCGGGTCGCTGCCTCGGGAGACTGAGAGATTTCGGCTTCGGCACGCTGGCGGAGGGACCGGAGGGTCGCAGCCGGGATGAATAGGTTCCTTTGGCGGATGCGGTTCGTGAGGAGGTACCACAGGAGATTGAAGGTGAAGCGCAGCTTGCCCCAACCTCGTAATCGCTTGTGCTCCCAAAGAAACGTCTCGTTGTATCGTTGCTTCTCTGATTGCGCGATTTTCGCCATGGGGTCGAAAGTCGGGTCTGCCAGGGGTTTGACGTCTTCCTTTTTGCCCACTAGGACACGGCACCAGTTTTCAACAAGCTCCTTGCGCCCCATCCCGTCTGTGACGCTGTGCGGGTACGTAATCGTCACAAACGTTGCGTCCTTGAAGGTTATCACGTGTAGTGAGAGCAGCGGGCGATCCGTAGTGGTGTAGTCAGAAAACGTGGTCGGAGCCTCGGGTCCCGCGAGGATGGGGGTCAGTGTCGACGGAGTGTCGATAATGCGAGGCCTTGACGGGGCATGGGTGGAATAAGAGAGGAGCGAGGGGATTGTCGAGGCCAAAGGGTGGGACATCACACTTGAGGGGTTGGGCTCAGTCGTGAAGTGGACTGCTGGACGGGAGGGGCTGAAAGCCTCGGGTATGTGAAGCTCGAGTTTGCCGTCCTCCTAGAGAAATCTCAGTGACTTCGTGCTCATCTCATGTTTCAATAATGAGCTCTGCTAGCCAACAGCGAAAGCACCTACCGCCAGCCGCGGTCTACCGCCAAGCTTCCGCCAATTCCCGACGGTGAGTAGCTCCGAGAGTGAAGTATGAAGCATTTCCGGGTCGAGAACTTCATGAAAGCACATTGGCCAGCTCATGATCATCATGCGCATCATCCAGGAGCTGTCCAGTGCGGAAAGCTGAATGACGATGTCGGTCGAGACCCTTTCTGGCTGGCGGGGCGCAGGGCCCAGAATCGGGTTGAGAAGAGGGCGGAGGGACGGCATCTTGACAGACCCCTTGCGAGATGTGACTGTAGCTACGAGGTTTTGAGAGTGGCAAGATTGGGTTTTCGAGTGGCCGTGGTCTGTTTAGTGGGAAGCAGAGAATAACAAAGATGAGGTGGTGTGGTAGATACGAAGGACAAACTCCCCGGATTTGCACGTTCATGGGTCGTTTGCGGGCGGGCAAGGATGACATCGTGAGAATATGAGCCTGGCCTGTCGACCTAAGGCTTGAAATGCCGATTCTAACTGGGCTTGATACAGGGTCGCGGGAAATGACTCGCGGAAAGGAGATGAGGTCAACTTTGATTGCATAGATCGTGGGGCGGTGAAATTAGGTTCGATGATAGTGTGTCGGCGGTCCGCTGTTCTGAGAGTTGCGTGTCTTCCGGACATCAGACTTGAGGTTCAGAGGGTCTTTTATGAGGTTGGGGTGACTCGGCTAGCCTTTGGCTTTGCATATTTCGTGAGAAATCAACAAGGCACATCTAAAATAGACGAGCCTGGACCTGTTACAGAGCGATTGTTAGGCGATTGAAACCCTCGGCATAATGTCACTCACGATCCGGCCCCTTCATCCGACCTTTGCAGCGGAGATCTACGGCGTTGACTTCTCAAAGCCATTAACAGATGAGGTGTTCCAGGAGATCAAGGATGCCATATCCAAGGTCAGTTCTCCTTGGATATGAGGTAACGTACTTGTAAGTCGGCCGCTGACAGTTTGCGATGCGCAGTATGGCGTCTTGGTCTTCCCGAAAACGGGCCTGGACGACGAGCGCCATGTCGCTTTTGCCAACCGCTTCGGTGAGCTTGAACGCCGCAAGGACACTGGGTCGCCGTCGCGGATGAGCCGTCCAGAACTGACGGATCAGGGCAACATCGACAGCAACAGAAACATCATCAGCGCGAGCGATCCTAGGGCTCAGATCAGCAAGGTTTGTTCCCTGGGGCAGTCCCAAGCGAAGCAAAGGTCGAGCAGAAACTTACGGTTGAGCAGGGAAATATGCTCTTCCATGTCGATAGCGGCTTCAACTCTCGGCGGGCGAGCTATTCCATCCTCCTCGCGCACGAGATCCCTCCCTCAGGCGGCGGCGGAAATACGGAATTCGCAGACACGCGAGCGGCATGGGACGAACTCCCTGAGTGCTGGAAGCAGGAGCTGATGGAAAAAGACTATGTCGCGGGCCACTCGTTCTGGCACTCGCGCAAGAAGGCATGTTCCGAGTTCTTTGCCAAGCTTGAGCCAGAGAAGCACCAAATGAGCAAGCACAAGGTCGCACAGCTCCATCAGTCGAGCGGGCGGATGAACCTATTTGTGCCGTCGCATTGTCATCATATCGAAGGACTCCAGGCGGAAGAGGGGAGAGAGAAGTTGGAGTTTCTATATCGGCATGCCACCCAAGACAAGTTTGTCGTCTCGGTCCCGTGGCAGGAAGTTGGCGACCTGGTCATGTGGGATAATACGTGTACGCTCCATCGGGGAACGCCAGTTGCTGGGCTTCACAAGAGGGATATGAGGAGAGCAACGGTACTGGATGGAAGTGAAGAGGCTTGGGGATTGAATGAAAGGGTTGAGAAGGATTTTGCATTTGCGCCTGAGGTTATGGCTGATGTGTTTCGATGCCTTTGAGTGTAGGTGGGAAGGAAGGAGATATTGAGACAAGGAAGGTGCATTTTTTTGGGCATATGGCAGGATATCGAACTCATCTTTCCATTCTCTTTTCGTCTCTCTCATTTTCTTGTTCTTTCCCTGCTTTCCTGTGATTCCGTGTCCTCTTTTCTCATTCCTCACACAACACAACTCACACAACACAACTCACACAACACAACTCATACAACACAAGCCGTCCTCATATAATGACAGTTCTAGAGGTTTTCCAACAAGAGAAAAGCAGGCCTATCCTCTTGGATTGATTGCTAATACTTGAAGAGGGAACATTCCAGCAGCAAACAAGCCAGTTTTCCTGGCCACTGAAAGCTGGAAGCAACGTCCAGCAATACATCAATCTTTTTCTTAACCTGAAAAGCACACGGCAACACCTTTCTCGCCTGCCTATTTTGCAATTACTCGGTTGTACGCAGACAAAGTCACATTGCTTCCATTTCCACTTCACCACTTCCTTTATCCTCCGCTGCCTTTATCATCTTCACTCAAGCTCACTTTTGAGTACTTTGCAATTCATCTCATCATGGTGCAAGGCACGCTGCTAGCTTTCCTGCTGCAGCCAACACAGACAAATCACAAGGCAGCTAGCTGTATTATAAGGTGAGCCAGTAATGCTCATCCTCGCTCTAACGTTACCCCAGATACATTCTTTTCCACACGCATCCAACAAACCCAAGCGAGAAGTATTGTCATCAACACCTTCTCAATTCAGTCGCCTTCCATGTTGCCCGGCTTGCTGCCTCGACTGTGTCATGGACTCGTCCCGCCTTCCACAACCCGCCCGCTTGCCTATGCTGCCCTTGAAGTCTGATCGCGCCTTCACATCAGAATATGGAAGCACCGAGACCCTTCTTGCTTCCAAGAGAACCTTCCTCACCTCACCCTCGCCCTCGCCCTCGCCCTCGCCCTCGCCCTCGGCTCCTCCTTATTCTGCCGCCCTCGACATCACGTGTCCAACCAACCCACCGTGTGGAAGGCTTCTCCTCTGTTTCTCTCCTTCCAACTCTCCAGTTCAGTCTAGGGAAGGAGTAAACAGTCAGGACACCGCGGACGCGATAGCCCTTTCCTTTCACTTCGCGTCTTTGTGGTCCTTCTCATTTCCCTCCCGCCACCTCAGGGACATCGTGGCCTCCTTCTTCTTCCTCCTCCTCCTCTTCTTCTTCATCGCCATCTTCTTTTTCCTACCCTTCTCAATGGGCAGTACGAGCTCGAGAGTCCTAGCATTCGCCAACACGGCTCAGACCTCTACTTCAACCACTTTGATGGCCAGTTCACCTCTCCCTGCAACAGTATCAGCTTCCACAATGGCCCCAACCTCGAAGCCGAAGCGCCGCCACAGCCGCTCGGCACGCAAAAGGCCCTCCAAAAAGAACAAAGTCGACAAAACGCAGCCCCTCAGATTCTCTCTCTTGCCCCCCGAGATGCGCGTCACGGTCGTCGAGAACATGTTTGCTGTCGGTGGTCGCCGTCTACTTCGTGACTTCAGCGTCACCAGTCGCGACAGTCGTGCTCTCGCCCAGAAAGAGCTCTATCGCGAAATCAGCATCCAATATGAGGTTGAGCTTTGTCATCTTACAAGAAGCCTTATCGAGAATCCTCCCCTCCGGAAGCTTATCCACACCGTCCGCCTCAACGCCAATTATTGGTGTTTCCGCCGCCATGATGCTAGGCGCATCTTCCGCGAGTGGCCAAATGCCCCCATCGACGAGTCCCGCCTGTCCCAATCCGACCGTCAGCTTCTCATTCTGCTCAGGTCTTTCTGCAACGAGAGGCCTTCCGACAACATCCAATGCGTGTTCGGTTTATTCCTTTTTTTCGTTGACCAAACAAAGCATCTCGCCCTCGATATCGGCTACGACTGGGGTCTTTTAGACAACTTCCTGGCCGCAGGCTTCGCTTCCACCTCGTCGACAAACCCCAACCTCGGCACAGCTCTCCTGCCGGTTGTGAAGATCCTCGGTCTCTCCACCAAACAGTACCTGCAAAAAGCAGTCCGCACAATCCAAGCAGGACCTTACCACCCTTTCAAGGCTCTCACTGCTTCAATCCATCTCCGCGAGTTCACTTTCACGGGAGATATGGATAGATGGAGCAACCTGGACGCCATTGACCCCGGCATGAAACTTCCCTTTACGACGGTCAATCTGGTTGCTAGCTCCTGTACGGCTTCGACCCTCTCCAAGTTCCTGCGTCATTGTCCTGACTTGCAGTGCCTCAACGTTACGTCCCAGGGTTACAATTCGGAGGTCGACACCAATGAATGCCTCAACACCATCTTGACAAAGTTCTGTCCTCAAGTTAGAGAGTTGTCACTCCGCAATGGGGGACGCTCGAGGGATTTTTTTCGGTCTTCTGCCACCCACACCATCACTTGTCTCCCAGAGATGACCAACCTGAAGGAGCTTCGCATGGAAGTCGATGCTTTTTTCGTACGCGGTTCAGATATCAGCGCGTTCAGGCTCCCCAACAAGCTGCCAGACCAGCTGGAGAAGCTTTTCCTCGATTGCTCCTTCGCTTTAACCCATTTTCCATTCAACATGCACTACACGCGGATGACCGCCCGTAGCCCCGAGGCTATTGCTTACAGGCAGGCAGTCGATAACATGATCCAGGCTATCTGCAAAGCCCGAGAGGATCGATTTCCTCGACTCAACACCATCGTCATCGGAGCAAAGTGGGTGGCCCCTGTTCAGTGGACCAGGATCGCCAACAAGGCTCTGTCCAAGACCGGTGCCCGCATCAAAGTCACGAGCAGCAAAGATATCCAGAGGCTGTGGACCTGCTCTTGGGATGCAATGAAGGTCTGAATCGATACTTGGGACTAGGTACTGAAATGGATGGTTGGTCAAAGGACGTGGGGTGGGCTAATGGATCATGTGTCGAAGGCTGCGAGGGGAACACATCGCGAGATTTACGTCGCAAAGATGTGTTATGAAGGATGAACGTAACGGGAATGCACATTACGAGAGCACTATGCGACACCAACATACGCGCTGAGAGCGAACGCCACGAGGCGATGCGTTTTGGCTCTCGCTTCGTTGCACTTAGACGTATCTAGCAAATGCAAACTCTGGCCAGGACCCCTCCCGAAAGACCCCATGCCGGTGATAACTTTCCAAGCATCTTCGTTAGATCTTGGCTTTTCTCAGGCATCTCAAAAGTGTTTGCTAAGCGGCTTGCCTGCAATACGCCACACGCGAAAAGGAGAGGCGGCTTTCTTAGGCCGTACTGGCTCCGGTTCGCAGAAGAGATGTCATGTTCCGGGCTGTAGAGCGGGAGCATCTCCACAACAAGTTCTCCTGCGAATCTCGGCGTCTTGCTCCGTTGTCGTTGTCGACCACCTCCCCGTTATAGCTTCACCCTCATTCTCCTCTCGCCCCGCTTGGCTCTCCAGTAGTTGGACGACACGATTAGCTCCCCGCACCCCTCGAGAATCCACCGCCACCTCTCGACAAAGTCCTCCGTCACCTCCCAGCTCCTCGGGTCCCATGGCTCCCCCCATAGGATCATGCCCCCCCGGCCGGACGGCGCGTCCGCGTTCCCGATCAGGTCGAGGCACAGCTCATCGTCGTCCAGGGAGTCCCCGGCCCCGATCAGGTTGTCCCGCAGCCGCGGCAGGGGCAGGAGGTCGAGCCAGGGGTGGTGCGACACCGTCAGCTGCGTCCGCGTCGGCCGCATGGCGGACGGCAGAGCAACCACCCACCCGTCGCCGGAGCCGGCGCCGTACGCGGGGTCGCTGCCGTACGGGGAGATGCAGTTGTCGTCCAAGACCATGGACAGGGTGATGCCCAGCGTCTTGGAGTTCTCCATCAGCCCGCGGAACAGGTTGAACTGCACCAGCGGCAGTAGCAAATCCGCCATAGGGCCCGGGCCCGGGCCCGAGCCCCGCCGACCCCGGCTCTCGTGCGCACGCTGCAGGAAGAGGTCGTACAGGTCGTCCAAGTCCTCTTCTCGGAGCTCGATCAACGGCCCCGCCCGGCCGAGGTACTCCAGGGCTGTCAGAGTTGCCCTTAAAACGCATCCGCGCGGGTCTTTTACTTTCCTGGGCGGCCCCGGCCGGGACAGCTGCATCTCCGCGTCGTCGTGGGCTGTAAAAGCCGGGGGTGCTGCTGCCGCCTCAGCCACCGCCCATCTCGAGGTCGGTACCAGGACGCCCCAAGGCGCCTGCGAGGATGGGGACGAGGACGGGGACGGGGACGATGATGGTGTGCCGGGGTTATGAGATGCTTCTTGGCGCTGCTGCTGCTGCTGCTCCTGTTTTTCCTGCTTCCGTCGCTGTCCTGTCGACGGGCCGGGCGCGTAAGCAGGGGTCACTTGGGGGGGAGGGGACTCGAAGACAAACGAACAAGGGGTGATGGGATCATCAGCATGCATAAGCAGATTGCAGGAGGTGCGTGCCACTTACTCCAGATCCGTTGGTTGAGCTTGTTCTGGATCTTCCTCCTCTCGGCCGGGCTTGTCTTGCCTTTCCAGTTGTCCTCAATAGGCACCATTTCAGGGATCGGAGGCCGCATCAGGGTTGACAGCGGTGGTAACATCGTGGGCTCGGTCATGTCTGGTCCAGGCTCTCGGTGGGTTTTTTTTTTTTTCCCTTTCTTTTTCTCCGTAGACATCCGGTAAGATGACAGGGCTTCCTTCTCGATGGGACACGCTGCAGAGTGATGAAAACAAAAAGCAAAAAAAAAGTGCACACAGGGCTGAGCGGGCTGCGGGGCGCATCGACGATCAAAAGCCGGGGGACTTGGATTCCTGGACAAGGAATTGGTAAATTTGGGGCGAGACAAACGCAAAAGCCTTGGTATACACATCGAGTTAGCTTGACTTTGGTTGAAGACGTTATTGCCACTAGTGACGCTGGCTTCTCGGTGACTGCGAGAACACACTATCATTTCTCGTGCCTGGATGACGTTTGCTGGGTTTCTCGGGTCCTCCCCGGGGGGCCTTCGGGATCATCTCCAACTGATCGTCTCCCTTCTTGGGAGGCTCGCTGCCTCGAGCTGTTGCTGCCGAACCCTTGTGTTTACTGATCATCCCGGCATCGCACGTGGGGAAAGGCGCGTTCGCTGCGCCGGACTCACTCTCTCTCTCTCGGTCTATTTACGACCGGCGCGTCGTTGGGCCATGGACTCCAGACTAAGTAGGGTACGTCTTCAACGCGATCTACTAAGGTACGGTATAGGATTCCAAAAGTGCACCTGGACGAAGCCGACGCCTCGGCTTTGGCCCTCTGGGGTACCGTATCCTCTGAGCAAATTGGCCAACCGCTAATTCTCGGGCTAACGGTAAAGGGGAAAGTGGCCGCTCATAGCGCTAAACCTATCAGAGAAAGCGGTCAACATACCCACCTATCCACCCACCTGCCCACTTGCCCATTATTTACTGTTCTTACGCCTTAACTTCCTGCTGACGTAAATGACTAACCCCTGCTTTTGCCTTTCTAGATCCCTGTTTCTGCCAGCACGCTAGCCCTTATCTGGTGGCCGCGATACTCTTTGCCGTTAGCCTGAGAATTAGCGGTTGGCCAATTTGCCCAGAGGATACGGTAGATCTGCCGCGTCTTGAGGGCGTTCTTTGGCTTTTCTAGGGGGCGTGCCGTGCGCTCGACTCCGTACCAATCACGGCAGCTGCCGACAGCCACCAGCGTATACAATGGACTCCCTGGCTGCATCCCGATTTGACACCCCCCAGGATATTTGTCAAGCGCTAGCGAAGCAGCTGAAGCCGGCGGGGGATGGTCAGATCTTCAATAGGTACATGGTAAGGACTGGGCAGTGTAGGTCTTGTCTGATGCTTTGTGATTAATGGGGCTCCGCGCAATGTCCACCAAGTGGCTTTCCACGACAGCAAGTCTTTGAACGCTCCCCACAACCAAGAACACAAGGCAGACGCAATTCACTGTCTCTCTTCAAATGTCTCCATGAATCATGATCGCCCTATTGTTTGGCTCTCCACCTGTTTTACGTCGCCTTGTCCAGGGAGTGGCTAGGTGCTACCCTGAGAAAAATGCAAAGCCTCGGAAACAAACGATGTGTTTGGCATTCACTGCCCAATTTTCCCCTCCCTTTGAACCAAACCATGGCCCACGACTCGACAGCCAAGTTCGGCTTCTGAATGTTCAGTGACAGCTGCAGCCACAGTCTTCGCATCTTCCCTTGCCCGAACTTGACCTGATCCACCAGGCCGTGGGTGCAGGCAGTCCGGTGCCTCTTCCCGCCACATTTGCACTTCTTCCAGCAGTAACCCTTGGAGCAGCCGTAGTCGTCAAAACAGCACTCCGGGCGACGAGCTTGGGGCACAGGCCGTCGTCGGCGCTCAGTGGGCGCTCTTTTCAAGTGCGAACCTCGGTGGTGTCGACGCCGGCGCAGGCTTCGCCCGTGTAGAGCATGACACCAAGATCGCCACAGCCCGAGGTAGCGTCGAGGGAGGGCTACGCCGGCGTGGACGCGGGTGAAACGGCACATGAGGACGAGGGATGGCGGCTGTGGTGGACTCCATCTTGTTTTCTGGGAGCCCCAGGTGCATCGTATGTAGGCCGGTCCTCGAATGAAGTTTGCATCGCCTATATGGAAACTCGCATGGTGCTGAGATCTGAGGGGCGATATACAATGCTTCCTTGAGGTCGTCGTGTCAAAGTCGCCCCGTCTGGGCATGGTGTGGTCCATTTCCCCTTCGAACTTGGAGGACCTGGCCATCATTTTATACCCTCCCCGTCCCTCTATCCTCTATGCCCAGATGCATCGTCGAAATCGTAGCATTTCTAAGTTCTAGCGCCTGCTTGCGGTTCGGTCGGGGTCGTTGTCCTGTCATCTTGAAGCGTGAGCCTCCGGGAAGATCCCGAAGCACTGTACACCATCAGGTTTCACTAGATGCCCAACGAGTCGAATATGCTGAGCACGCGGATCCTTTCAGCACTACCGCAAGCAAAGTAGTCGATTTGCCACGTTGGTTGGGAGTGTAGATGGGGTCAAGAGGGAGAGGCGCGATGGGAGAAGAGGAGAGAAGGCAGTGAATGATCACCACATCACCCCTCCTGATCGACAGCGTTGGTTTACCCTCAAGTTAGCAGTAATAGATGCACAAAGATGTTGCACCATTAGGTGGGAGTATCAACATTCTCAAAAGACAACGTGTTCTTCACTTGCTTTCAAGTTATAGAATAATCCTCAAACTCATGTAGTTGTCGATATCGTATCTCGACATGCCGTGTAACACCCCGAGGTTCATATCATAGACTTTATCATTACAGCTGCGAATCTATTCAAGGTGTGAGATGCAAACCAAAAACGAGTCAGTTGTGGGGTAGCTTCTGGGTTCCACGAGATGTCACGTCAAATTTTACTAGCCCTCAAACAAGGGTTTAGACGCGGTATGAAGCTAAGGCGATACTACGCTACAAGGCCTACCTGATGATTTTGGTAAAGTGCATTTGCATTCGTCGTGCGCATTGACATGGTCTACTACGCCTTTACGAAAAGATTGCCTGAACTGGTTTGCCATGCATGTTTATTGATAGCCCAAGAGATCAAGATGATTCAGATGAACTCCACTGTTCGTTCTCTGATGCGGGCCAAGAACTTCCATTCGGTCACATGGCACACACAGTATAAACTCGGAAGCCGCTTCTTATGATACCACGGTCCAGAGTCAGCAATTCAAGATACGAGATGTGCCAAGTCCAACGGGCAAAACGGCCACTCGACAGAAACCCCTCCCCCCGGGACGGCGGCCGGGGCGTCGGACGGCAGGCCGTTGCATCGTATCGGCCGAGAGCTCCAGCTCCGACGGAGAGACCCCGCCGTGGCTTATAGTGCTGCACTGTGGGCCAATCGGCTGCTGGAGCTGCAACAACCCCTTCCCCACCAACCGCCATTCACCCGCACGGAAAGGGAAAGGAACTCGCGCCGGGTGGGATGGCATGCACTGCATCCCATCTCCGGGCAGCACTTCGGCGGGACACACACACTGAACCAACGAAACCCCAAACCGACCAATCAGTTCCGAACCCCCGGAAAGTCTGATTTCCTTTCCTGAAGGGCCGCATCCAAACTTATAAGACGGACCCCACGCTTTTCCTCTGGAAAAAGAAAAAAAAAACCAGAGAAGGGGAGAAAAGGAGAAAAGGAAAGTAAACCTGCCCAAGACAAGGGACGAGGGAGAGTCGTCAGTCATCATGGCCGAAGCGGGCTCCCAACAGCAGCCGTCGGACGGCAACGTGCTCACGCCAGATGCCATTGCAAACCTCCTCTCGTCCGCTTCCGCGCGGGCTGATCCGGCATCGGAGGACCAGGGCCGCGCCCACAACACAGCCCTACTGGGCGACGTCCTGTTCACGGCGCAGAGGCTGTGGGACGCCGGCAGCGAGGAAATCGACGTCGTCGCCGAGAAGTTGGGCGACGGGAGCCGGGACTGTGAGCCCCTTCCCCCCCCCTCCCCCCGCTCCCTCTCCCGCTTCGGCAATGAGAATTGGCAATGAGAGGACATGGTACTGACGCATCCCACAGCTTCATGGAGGTTGCCCTTGGGAGACTCGGGCATCCTGGACTTCTTCCTCTCCATCGTCGTCTCCTCCTCACACGGCCTCCGGCCCGCACTACAGAGGCATATGCTCCGCCTCATCGGCAACTCATGTGCCGACACTGGTGAGACACCAATCGTGTTCCTTTCTTTCATACACCGGGAAAGACTGACGTGAACCCTCAGATGAAAACCGTGAAAGAGTCGTGGCCTCAAATGCCCTGCCCGCCATCATCGGCTTTCTCGGCGACGATGCCGCCCTCCCCTTCGCCGTGCCCGTCCTCTACAACGTGCTCGTTGACTACGAGCCCGCCCAGGCCCAAGCCAGCACCTCATCTCTGACAACCCACCTCGTCGACCTCCTGACCAGCACGCGGCTCACCGACGCACCGCACCTCGTCGGCATAATCGCCAAGATCCTGGCTCTGCTGGCCACGCACGGTGAGTCCTTTTTGTCCGCCGCCTCCCTCATAGAACCCTTGGCTAAACTTTTCCCCCCTTCCTCCCCTCCAGAAACTGAGACGACCCTCGCGCCCCCGCAGACGCCGGTCGTCCTCCTCACGCTGGCCCTCACGCCCACCACCGACGCCGAGGACTTCGTCTTCCTCACGGCCGTCGCCCTCGCCTACCTCACCCACGCGCCCATCCAGGCTGCCCTCGTCGACGCCGGCGCCGTCCCCGTCCTCCTCGCCGCCTTCTACCACCTCCAGACCCAGCTCGACGCCGTCGAGGTCGACGACGACGACGCCGCCGCCCAGCTCCGTGCCCTGCCCCAGTCCTTCGTCCAAGTCCTCGCCGACATCTCCTATGCCGACGACTTCGCCGCCCGCCACCCCCTCGGCGACCCCGTCCTCGCCACTCTGCAGTCCTGGCTGTCCCTGCCCAACCTCCACCTCGGCGCCGCCGCCTGCCTCTGCCTCGGCAACGTCGCCCGCTCCGACGAGGCCTCCTTCGCCCTCGTCCGGGACCACGCCGTCCACCTCCCGCTCGTCAGCCTCCTCCGCGACGCCACCGACTCCCTGCTCCTCCACTCGGCCCTGTCCTTCCTTAAGAACCTCGCCATCCCCTCCCAGAACAAGCCCGTCCTCGGCGACGCCGGCCTCTTCGATCCGGACGTCCTCCCCCGCGTCTGGTCCCTCGACGTGAACCCCCAGGTCCAGTTCGTTTCCGTCTCCCTCACCCGCCTGCTCCTCGTCAACACCCCCACCAACGTCCGCCGCCTCTGCGCGCCCCTGAGCCCGGACCCCCTCTCCCCCGCCCACGGCACCACCCAGCTCCACCGCCTGCTCGACATCTTCTCCCGCACCGACGCCGAGCACACCCGCACCGAGGCCGCCCGTGCCGCCGCCGCCGTCTGCCGCGTCCTGCACACCGCCCAGATCCCCCCCGTCCTCCCCGACTGGGACCCCTCGACCGACGGCTACGTCTTCCGCCCAGAGAAGCCGCTGTCGCCCACCGCCGTCGCCGAGGCCGAGGGCAACGGCAGCGTCCGCCGCCGCGAGAAGTTCTACCGCCAGCACGCGAGCCTGAACCGCGTCCTGGCCTTCCTCGTCACCCAGACCCGCTTCCCCGTCCTCCGCAGCGAGGCCTGGTTCGTCTTGGCCCTCATGTGCCGCGCCAAGGACGGCGCCGACGTCGTCGTCCGCGTCCTCGGCGTCGCCGGCGCGTTCGAGGCCCTGACGCAGGCCATCACGGGACGGGCGCCGCCGTCGGAGGACGACGCGCATGGGGGCGACGACGCCAAGGCTATCGAAGGAGCCCCGGCCGCAGCGGACGCCGCGGGGCAGATCGTCGTCGGCGGCGGCGGTGGAGGAGGCAATGCGTCGGTGGTGGAGGGTCTGGGGCTGGAGCCGCAGCAGGCCGACCCCTCGCAGGCGGCGGGCATGAAAAAGGTGGACCGGGAAAACGGCCTTGTCATGGTGGCGGAACTGGTCAAGAACCACGCGGATGAGCTGCCGGCCTCGAGGAGGACGGCGTTGGAAGAGATGCTCAAGGAGGGCGGCGAGATACTCGTGGATGAAAAGGGCAAAGGGAAAAGGTGACCCAAGGGCACCATCGAAAACAGGAAATTGAGGGGGTGATCATGATGGGAGGCAGACATGGGCGGAATGAAGCTCACGGTGATGATGCTATTAGATTTCAGGTAGTTCAAGCGACTTGGCTCCAACACCCAACTCACATCCATTGCATTGTATACAGCGATCACCATTCACGGGGGACAGGAAGGCACGCGCGAGTGGAAAATGAAAGCAATCGAATCAATCCTTAGTCTACTCCTGTCACCTTGACCCATGATACACGTCACGTCGTTTTCGTACGATGCGTCTTCCTAAAACCCGTCTTGCGACGAGCTGGGGGGGAGAGAGGGGGAGGGGGGGCGGTCAACCGACACAGGCGGGTGTGATCAATGCAATAGTTTCTTTATGACCTTGTCCTGAGTGTGTATCTCTCATTTCCACTGAACCCACGCCAGGCCAGAAGACAAACCCGACTTCCGAAGAACTTTTATCCCTTCCTCGAAAGCGTTTTTTAACGTGTCGAAAGCAGCAGCCGAAAAACCCATATCCATGCAGTTCAGCTGCACTAGCCGCAGCATCGAACAAAACCGCCCCCCGACACCACAAGAGACGATAGCAGAGCAGCAGCAGCGGTGGTAGCAGAGGCTGAGACGTGCGTTTATTTCTTGGCAGCCTCGGCCTCGGCCGCGTCGCGGGCACGCTTCTCGCGCTTGCCCAGGTTGCGAGCCTCGCTTCTCGCCAGGCGGAGCTTGCGGTAGGCGCCGCCCTCGACGGGCTTGGGAACGTCGGACTTGGAGATCTCGGAGAAGCCGGAGGCAACCTTCTCGATGGGGAGGGCGTTGGCGAGGTTCTGGACGGTCTCGGTGCTGGCGAGGTCGACCTTGGAGTCGCCCTGCTTGACCTTGTTGGAGCGGCGGGGGAAGACGACGAGGCGCTCCTTGTAGGCCTTGAGGCGGGCCACGTTGGCGGCAAGGGACTCCTCGCTCAGGTTCTTGCGGCGGCCATCGACGGCGATACCGATGGTGGGAGCGTAGAGGCGGGGGATACCGGCGGCCTAGTGGTCAAACGGTTAGGACTCGTCGTTCTGTGCATGCACACAAGCTGTGCCACCTTCTCATCCACCTCATCCACCATCGTCCTCCGGAAAAAAGATTCGTACCTTAAGCTCGTCGAGGGAGAAACCGCGGCCGGCACGGACCTTGCGGTTGTAGCGGATCGTAGGGCATCTCACGATCGGGCGGAGAAGGTCGGTGGGACGGGGAGCGACCTTAGCAGCCTTGGCCTGGCGGGCGACACGGCGGCTGTGCTTCTTGCCGGCCTGTTGTAATGTTCCAAGTCAGATCCTGCTTTTCCCAATTCCGAAAAAAGATTTTCTTCCCATCCTTTTCCCGAGGGGGGTGGGTTGGTGATCCTGCGCAAAATAATCATACCTGGTCGAAGTGCGTCCGGACCCGGCGCTGCCAATCCTTGCGGAAGTCTGTTGGTAAAGGTGTCAGTCCAGAGTGTCTCGGGGAATCAAGTAGTCGTCGTCGTCGTCGCTTGTCGCGGGGAGGAGGTGCTCACGGTTGTGGGGGATCTGCTGGTTGTGTGCGATCGCCTGGAAGAAAAAACACAATGTCAGTATTCCTGCGATGCGATGCGATGCCGTCGACGGCGAGCATGTATCGGGGACGCGTATCGACGTACCATTGTGCCTGTATTGCGCGATCAAGGGGGTTAGTAGTCCGGATGGGCCGTCGTCGAGATGCTGCTGAACGCTTCAAGATTTCCTGGGAAGGGACGAGTCAAAATCTCAAAGAAGGGCATGCAAACCCTACGAGGCAAGGTACGTACTGGACGCAATTGTTGATTGGGCGGTGGGGTCCACCTGTCGTGGCGGCCACGCATAGGCGACGGCCGAACCATGTTCCGGCACGCCCGCAACGGTTGGTGTGGCTAGGGCGCCTGCAATCTCTGCAGCTGGGTCTCGGTACGTACTTGCATACTCGCGTACTCGCGGGGTAGGTATGCAGCTCGCGACTCACTAATCTGCGTCTTACGGGTTGAGGCTGCTTGCAAGCCCTTCACATATCAGCCAACACGTAATCGGTTATGTTATGAAACTGAGTGTGTTATTTTCTGTCTTCTTGAATTCAAGGCGAATCGTTCCATGCTGCTCTCATCTCGATGAACCCATGACAATATAGCACAAAGTATGCTTGCTGGACCAGGCCGATGGACAACCTGACCCGTAGCACTGGGAGATGTTGGCAACACCTCTACACTGAAGCTACAGTTGAACCCATGTCGTCCAGTAACACCAATGGCACGTCTGCAAACCAAGAATGAGAGCAGAGAGGCACCCAAGCACCTTTTGCCAGAAAGGGTGGGGCAGCGGGCTGGTAGCCACTGGCCCAAGGCCATTAGGTCAGCTTGCACGTGATTTGGTACTGATTGAGTGTATCACGAGATGACCACTCTCAACCGCACTTTGGGGCCATCGTGGGTGAAAATCGTGTTGCATACCTTTTTTCCAATTATGTTGTCTGCCTCGTGCAGATACATGAAGGAGTTTTTCGTAGTATTTTCGTGCAGTGTACAACATCGTTAAGAGTTGCCTTCGCAATTGTCCAAATACAGTCGAAATGACATGATCAAACTATCATAGTCTGCCTAGGACACCAGAAATGGGAGGCAGATAGCTTCAAGTTTCCATATTCTCACCTCATTCTTCGAGCTGTGCCGCGAGATACAACAGGATTAATCGATCACGTCGTTAATATACCGAAAAAGACACCGGGGATATATATTGTACAATAAAAGGAGCATAACCATCTATCTCCGCAGGAAAAGCCACACAATTGAGATCAAAACCCCCTAGTCAACAAAGTTAATTTAACAATACCTCAAAATACCTTGAATAAATATCTCGTATGTGCAACTTCCTGATTCATTTTAATACTCCTCGGATAGTGAAACAGGTGAATATTAGAATCACGCTGTCGTCAACAAGGAGTGTACGGGAAAGCCTTGCAGGCGTAGACATACCCATCAGCCGTATTTAACGAGGGCCACCCATACGTAACAGGTTTATCTCGAGAAACAAGCGATATTCTCTTTGCAAGTACACGTCGTGAATACCATTCATCCATTTATGCCTAGTCGGTAGTAATAATATAATGAGAACAGAAAGTCATGCGGCAATGCACTATCCTCTGCAAACGTCAACGAACGTTCCACTTTTATACCTAAACTCTGCATAGTTTAGGCGGCTGTAAGGTTGTTTCCGTGAAATGAAAAGGCTCTAATACACCATGTCTGCATTCGGAGAGTAAGTCTGATGAGCCTTACACAGAAGCCACACATCATTTTAACTAACTTGAATGCTCCAAGTGGACATTGGTAATGGGGCAGGGCTTCACATAAGCAAGATGTTGTTACAAGAAAATGAGTTCAGTATCTTAGAAGTGACTTGAAGAAAAGGCTTTATTCATACTAGGCTTTCATCATCACAAAGCCAGTTTTGCTTCCCAGATGCAACACAAAAAACCAGATCGACATGACTGTAGAAGCGCAATTTACCACAAGAATGAGCTTAACATCTTAAATACATTTGAAGTACCTTCGAAACTACACTTGAGATCACCACGACTATACCTGTCAGCATCGGCCAGGCTATTTGCACTTTTGTTTGAGCTTTTCCCGGCTGATACTATAAACGTGGAGGGCGGCAGGTGATTAGGTACCCGTGGGCTTCTCTTCTTATGGGTCTCATGGTGCATCAATAACTGAACCCGGCTTCTGTTATCAGTTATTGAGTAAAACAGAACGGTAAATGGCGTTGAGACTACGGACCAAGCCTCGCAATGTTGGTCAGTCTGAAGTAAAAATAGATGCCAAAACAGCGTGCATCGAAGGCCTCATTCAGTCTTGGTTCTCTGTCATTCATACCGCAGACGAAATGAAAGGAATTCTATTCAATCAAAAATTTGTCGACTCTCTTCAGGAAAAAGCACGGCACCAGCATTGCCGCGACCAACCTCGATCTCGAACTTGCACAACAACTGCGCACCATTTCCAGCTTCACAGCAGCACTCCTCCCTTCAGCTGCCCGCAGCTGCCCGCCCAAAAGAGAGCTCCCCCCCCCCAGCTCCATAGCCTCGTGACCCCCACGGGAGAGTCCGCACCAATGAAAACGCCTTCCCAAAAAAACACAGCATGCATGTCGCAATTAGTGGGGCACCTCGATCCAATTCGCAGAGGAGCTCCCGAAAAATCTCAGTGACAAGGCTCATCCATCCCGTTTGCCCCGTGCTCGGGAACCCGCGAACCTGCGAAGCAAAATCGACGACGACGCCGACGACGACGAAGCACCCCCCCCTGCCAACTGCTTCCTGCCGCGAAAAAGCCCGCCTCTCGCGTTTTCCTCACATTTCATTCCCGGAACGTCGACAAGCGAAGACGAGAAACCGAACGGACCGACAAAAAAAAAAAAACGAACAATGGCATCCAGGCTAGGCCCACGGAGCGCCTCGGACGCAACGCGCTTCACCTCGACCACCCCGCACGCCGCCTCCAAGAGTTCTCCCACATTGACGACGACGACGATGACGACGGGTGCGACGGGGACAGCTGCCGCCGCGGCCGCCCCGACCTCGTCACCACACCCTCCTCCCCGGGTCCCCGGCCGGCCGCCGGGTGAGTCCCCCGAGGAGCGCGTCCGCCGTCTCCGTGCCGCCCACGAGGCCGCGCGCGCCGCGCAGAAGTCGAGCGTCGACCGCGTCATCGGCGGCAGCCGTCGCTTCTTCGACTTTGCGCACAAGTTCACCGTCCTCGGCCTGGTCGGCTTCACGGGTACGTTCCCTTGTTGTTTTTTTTCTCTTTCCCGTCCGTTCCATCCCCCCCTTTGTATCGGGGCACATACAGCTCTTTCTTACCGTCCTTGAATCGGATCACCGAGTTGCCACTCAGTGGTTGTCAGAAGGAGAGAGAACAGAAGAAAAAAAGGGGGAGGGACACAATTACAAGTTGACGAAACTATTGAGGACTAGAAGGCTAATCAATTCTTCCCCCCCCCCCCCCCCCAACAGCCATCGCCGGCCTCATCTCCGTCTATTCCGTCTACGACATGGTGACGTACAATAAGCAGCGCCGCGCCGACTTCATCGAGGCCCAACGTCGCATGGAGGAGGACTCGCTCGCCGCCGCCCGCCTCGCCTTCATCAACGGCACCGCCACCGACGCCCAGGTCACCCTCGTCGAGGAGGCCAACGCCCGCGCCCGCGAGACCGGCGTCCGCCTCCCGCCCCTGCTGTCCGCGCCCACCGTCACCACCCAGGCCGAGAAGATCTTTGGCAAGGGCGGGCACCAGCAGCAGCAGCCGTTAACACCAGACTCGTCGTTCGCCGCCGCCCCTGAAGCCGAATCGTCCGCGCCCGCCGCGCAGAAGAGCAGCAGCTGGTGGCCCTTTGGGTCATCCTCGGCCAAGCCCGACCAGGCCAGGGGTACCATCCAAGAGAGCAAGGAGCTCCTCCAGGACAAGGCCAAGGCGGCCTTTGAGCGTGAGCGGGAGAACCAGAGGCGGGGCGGCGCGCTGGACCAGCTCGGCCTGCCGCAGGAGGAGAAGAAGGTTGAGAAGAATGGTTGGTGGTAGACGTCCGTTCCGTTTTGCTACCCACCCCCTTCCCTATCTGAAAGTGATTCCTCTGTCTCCGTCATCCCCTGTCGATGCCTCTTCTGCACGGCAGAGGAGTTTCTGTCGGCGCGGAGACGGGTGACATGTTTCCCTCCAACCCCTGTCTGTTATAATACGAATCAGAGAGAGAGAGAGAGAGAGAGAGAGAGAGAGAGAGAGAGAGAGAGCGCGCGTCTGCGGGGTTTGGTGTTGGTACTGCGACGATATCGGTGCATAGAAAGAGAACAAGGCAAAAAAACCTTGGTGGAAATGGGTGTGAGCCCGCACCCCCCCCCCCCAACATACGGCCGAGGGCTGCGGGAACGTCTCGAGGTTGCAGCCCAGATGGCAGGGCCGAGGTGGACGAAAGGCGCCACAGGTGTATCATAAGTGTAGACTGACTGGATGTGCATTAGACGGCGTCCGGGTTTTTAGCAAATTATTGCATGCGGAAGGAAAAAACCAAAAACTAAAACATTACCCTCATCTCTCTCTCTCTCTCTTTCCCTCACTTTTTTTTGTTTATGCATTGTTCAAGACTTATTGGATCAGGATATTTGAGTGCCGTGAAAACTGCTGGCGTCATCGCCACTTCGATTCTGTCCTTCCTGGACGGGTATTATGTACAGTTGCCCTTCACGAGGGAAACGCTTCGAAAAACACGATCTCACCCACCGAACCTCCGTCGGCCGCGCCGGGTCCGGCCGGCTCTTCCCAACCCCCCCAATTATGCATAGAAAAAGAAGAGCTTGCCTCTCTAGGCCCTGAGCGAGTGGAAATATGTGCGCTGAGTATGGTATTACCGTCCCCCCCTCTCCTCAACCAAGACGCCCGTGTCTCTGGCAAAACGTCCGCCGAAATCAGAAAACGCCGTGAAAAAAAAGCAGAAGCTTGCTGCGCGCCCTAGTCCATGACTATGGACGACTAAAAACACATCGACTTTTTGTAATCATGATGCCAATCGCGCTCCAGTCTTCCAATCCCGCCTGCTCCTCTTTTCTCTCTTGTTCTCGTTGTCCTTGTTGCAATTATTCCGAGGCTGGATGGAACTGCCCCGGCTCTACCTAGTTCGTCTGTCAAAATAGGCGCGTCGTCTCCTCTACGAGACGACAATATGGTTGAAGTGGCCTGGAACCTTGAGGCGGCACTTTTCGCAGTCGGCACGGTAGCCGATGCTGAAACTCTTCTTCATGCCGGGCTGCCAGGTCCATGAGTTGACAGTATGCCTCGACCGGATGTGGCCTCTGCGGCCGGGCGAGGGCGTCGCCGGGGCCGACGTGGTCTCGGTAGGCGCCGAATCGGTCGTGGTGTCGCCTACCATGCAGTGGTGATCCTCGACCTCCATCATGCCCATATCATGGTGGCCGTGGCCGTGGCCGTCGAGAGACGACTGCTCCAGACGCATGGTGAGGTTGGAGGGGAAGCCGTTGTCGAGGACCATGCCCGGGGGGCTCAGGCTCCCGCTGCCGGGGTAGCTGCTAGAGTCCTCGCCCTCGCTAATGGGCGAGGGCAGTCGGCGGTTCTGGACGGCGTGCCAGTCGTCGGCGGCGTCCATGCTGCGGGGGATGCAGCGGGATTGGTCGGCGCCGAAACCGGCGTGCATGTGGCCCATGTTGACGACGCCACTAAGATGGCTCACTGCGGGTCCGGGACCTCCCCAAGCGCCACCCCGAACCTGAGCAGCGAAGCTTGGTTGGATGGGCGTCGGCATACGGCCGTTGGCCGACGAGTGCTCGTCTGAATGGATGAGCTGCTGGCTCTGCTGTTGTTGCTGTTGGGGCAGGGGCGGCGGCGACATTGTGTCCATCATGTCCATGTCGCAGTCGGACTCGGCAGGGCCCCAGGGCGACGGCTGGCAGGACATGGGACCGGAAGAGGAGGACCAGGGCGAAAAGCGCGACTTGGGCTGCTCTTCCGAGTCAGAGTCGCCTGGTGTCAGGGTGCAGGAAACGGAGTTGAGAGGCATCATGGGCGCCGACCAGCGCTTTGAAGAATTGGGCGAGGTTCGGAGGGGGAGGCACTGGATGCGTTTCTGCCGAGAGAAGTCAGCGGGGGTGCTCTGGGCAAAACGGGAGGAGCGGGTATGCAAGGCAGCGACATACGTTTCTGTGTTCAGCGAAGCTGAGAGCGCCATTGTGTAGGTCGTCGTCGTCATCGCGGCTTCTTTTCCTGGAGAGGTCCATGTAGTGCTGGGTGCCGAACATGGTGAAAGCAGCAGCGGCGACGGCGGCGGTAACGGCGGCGGTAACGGCGGGGAGAGAAAGCTACGGGTATCTGCTGTGTAGTATGTGGTGTAGTATGCAGTATAGTATAGAAGCGCGACGGTCGATTGCAGATGTCAGAGGGACAAGCGCGGCAGCTAGCGATGGCAGGTCGAGAGAGGAATGTGACGGACAGAGCTGTGCAGTGTCCGGGCCGTCGGTAGGGTTGGAAAGAGGAGAAAGAAAAGATGCACTGACGATGGGAGGATGGTGCCAACTGTGCCGTCAAGGTGTCCGTGGCTGGATGAGGAGGAGGAGGAGGTGGTAGTGGTGGCGATGGTGGTGCGCAGGCGCTGGGGGGAAAGTTGGAGGTGCACAGGCTGCTAAGTTGCCCCGGACTGAATAGTGCCAGGGGGGGTGGGGTGGGGGGTTGGTGGGTGTGAGTGGCAGGTGTGCGTGCGGGCGGGTGCGGGTGCAGATTGCGACAGGGTGCAAGGGGGGTTGTAATTGCCCCGTAGTTCCCACGAGTCGGCCCAGTCAGCACCTCCCTACGGTGATGCTCGATGGCGTGTTGTCGAATTAGGTAGTAACTGAGGTAGGTAGCAGTCGATTGATGCTGGGATTCTTTGGGTCCTGGAGAGGCTGAGCTGAGGAGACGGAAAGGAAGAGGCGAGGCCGAGGCCGAGGTTGCGTGCTCCTAGTGAGAACGACGGACGACGCGTGTAAGTCGCAAACTCTGCCTGAGCTAGCGAGCACTCGACAGACTGCAGATTGCGGGTTGCTGGCTAGCTGCAGTTGCAATATCCTTTCCCCAGAGGCAGTTGACGCGAGATCGCGACTTGAGTTGTTCCGGTCGATCAGCCAGGATGGACCTGCGTCCGTTCAGATTATTCCCTTTTTTTTATCTTGTTTCTCTCACCCTTTTTGATTATTGATGCCGGGTGACGATCGTTGTGGATGTCAATGCCAATGACACTGTATCTGAGGAAGTATGATAGCGGATGGAAAGGGAAAAGAGAGGGAGAGAGAGGCAAAAAAGGGAAGAGAGAAGAGAAGAACGAGGCAAGCCAGAATCGAATGTCGGGAGGCGAGTGGTCGCAGATAAAGTGAGCCGGGGAAAACACGATGGGCCAAATGGGGGGAATGGAGGCAAAATACAATAAAGTAAAAAAACACACAAGAACCCGGCGACGCCAGATCAGACACAACACACCAAAAAAAAGCTGCTGTAGCCTGTCACACGCCACAAAGGGAAAAAGATAGACAGACACTCGACGCACCTACCAGAAGGTAGAAGATAGAGAGAGAGACAAACACACACACACACACAGAGAGAAAGGGTCCCCGAGCGGGAAGCCAAAGCACCGGTGGAAGTAAAAAACGAAAAAAAAAAAAATAAAAAAAAAAATACTATGATGGCTAAGGCTAGGGGGAGGGGGGAGAGAGAGAGAAAAAAAAGAAAGAAAGAAAACACCCGGATAAGGACAAGTCCAGACCCTTCAAGGTTCTTCCCGGACCAACGGTTTAGGGGACTGAGGGCGCTAGTTCCACCCACTCTGCTGGAATTCAAACCGACAGTGGGGGTTTCAATCCTTGATTCTACTCCAGCCTGTTTTATTCCAGGAACGCAACGACGACGTCAGGCTGTTGAAAGAGATGCGCAGGTTCGCGTTGATTCGCGTTGATTCGCGTCACGATTCGCAGCCCTGGAATGGCCTCGAAAAGAACGACGAGTACAAAAGTACTTGGCACCTGGCGTAACTCACTCTTTGACAGCTTCGAGAAACCTAGTCGGCTGCAGTACATGGACACAACTTAATGCGGTCGGGTCCAGGGAGAGACCCCAGGTTCTAACATAATAAGTAAAAAAGGAGAAGAAAACCAAGACAACCAAGTAGACCCAAGTCCGAGCAGCGGGCGTCAGCCCACAGCCAGGGCCAAGTGTTCAAAACGCCAGAGAAGCCAAGAAAAGCTTGCGACTCGCCGAGGAGGAAGACGGAGGGCCACGACGGAACCCCCCCCCCCCACCCTTCCAGTTACGAACAGGCCAATCAATATAGCGAAACCTGCGACAGGCGGCAACGTCACACGAGCACCAGGGCAAGTAAGGGGGGAGAGAAGGTAAGGGGGGCGGGGGGGGGGGGGGGGGTCCAGTTGGAGACCGGAGAATAGGGAAATAGTAGTTTGGGAACTAACGGCCGTCGACGTCGGGAGGATCATATCGGCGACGTAGGGTATAAAAGCAGAAAAGAAGAAGAAGAAGAGAAAAAATAAGAAAGAAAAAATAAAGGAGTTGAGGCGTTATCCAAGGCCTGGCCTGGGCGATATAGGACAGGGGAGCTTTAGAAACGAAAGAGGGCGACCAAAGGGCTCTCCTCCCGAACGACTGGGATCACGCCTCGCCGGCGACGCCCGCCGTTGTCGTCGTCGTTGTCGCTGTCGTCTCTGTTGTCGAGGGATATCCCTCCTATTCGTGTGCAGAAATAACCCACCCCGGAGACCATTACCTCCTCTCCTATTCTTCCCCCTCCCCGCCCCCTCACCTGACGTCTTGCTCCTGCTGGGTACCCCGTGTGTGTCTCTGTCCATGACGGGCACTTCGCTCTGCTGCTGCACACCCACACTCTCCCAACGGGCCGCCGAGGCCAGCAATGGATCCGACCGGGGCCGACGCCTGGCCGGGCCCGCACCGCGCTCGGCATACTCGCGCAGGAAAGGGCGTTCGCCCGAGGACGAGAGAGCAGGCATCGCTATACAGGGCGGAGGGAAGGGGGGTGGACGGATGGACGTTGCCCTTTGCTCTCGTTGCACCCAGATGGCGATTTGCCAGTTCGTTCCGCATGGGTATACTGTGATGGCACGTCACATTGGGAGGCCTTGGCTGCCTGGCTGCTTGCCTGCCTGTGGACATCGCCGTCGAGAAGGAGGAGAAGGAGGAGGAGATAGTGTTGGTGGCGGTGGTGAGGACTGGTTTCAGAAATGCTTCATGAGATGCTGGGGGGTGTGGTGGGATGAATTGGGGGCTGTTGGGTGGATAGTGCTCAAAGGGAGTTTGAGCCCCGAGCCCCTTCTCTCTCCTTCTCTCACCTCCCCTCCCCCTCTTCTCTCTCTCTCTCGCCGCCTACGACATGCTTAATGAGGGGGCGATAGCTAGGATAGGAGGCGAGCTTTGATGACATTGCATTGCTGAGGGGGGGCACGGGAGTGGACGATCTCACGCACTCGTCGGGGTTACTGGATGTCGTTTTATTCACTAGATGTCGGGTTTGTTTATGGGCTCACCGTGGCCTTTCGGCTCTGTCCTTCGACGGGAGCGGTGACGCGATATCGGGGTCGTTCGCCACGTCATGTACTACGTACCAGTTCGCGAATAAGCAGAGGCTGGCCCATCACTACTTCTCCTCCCCTCAACCCCCCAAGGCGCGCAAGTTCTTACCACTATCAACCTTACTCGAAAGAAGGGGCCCCCGGTATCACATGACATCCCTTCCGGCTCCACTGGAACAATAAGCCGCCGGCCTTGATTCGCGTTGCGGCCGCTCTCAGGTCATCCGTATCTCGAGCGGCCCAGAATGTTAGCCTCTGTGTCGTTGCTCCGAACATCACAATGAAAACTATTTGCGTCAACGCCCGACGCACAGCCCCGAGTGAGTCTCGAGGCCAACAATCGAGCGCGGGCACGGAACAGCGGATTCCAACGGGCAAGAAGTTCCGTAGCCTGCGGGTAAGTAAACCCTGGGCGAAGATGGTCGCCAAGCAAAAAAAGGCAAGAAAAAAAGAAAAAGAATGCTGAGCCGGGGTGATGTGCCCTCCCTCCCAAGTTTCGGTGAGCTGTGGATAATCAACGTCGTATGCGGTACCGAGTGTCTCATCGTCCCCCCAATCCAGGTTGAAGATCCCCCCCCTCCGGGGTGCACGCGCTACTGCCCCCTGTAACCGCCGTCACGGTGCCATCTGGGATTGGTCTGCGAGGTCGAGTGCTGTCAGATCCCACGGTACAGTGTTTCCATCCAGAAAGCTTCCTTTGTGTTGAGTATTAGGCATGATAGCTATTATAGCGTGTTTTCGTGTTATTGTACCTGTGCGGTCCCCTATGAGGCTCTGTCTTGGCTACGCACCTTAGCGCTGTTGTCCGTGGGCTGTTGGGACTTTGGTAAACACCTTTTCCTCCCTGCCCATCCGCGTCGTCAGGGACCCCGTACGTGCACCGGACAGCACTGGGTGACTGCATAAGGGCTCGCTCCCTACACGAGTCGCCCGCTACTACTTTCGCTCGAAAGAGGCAAAGGTTGAGACTGGCCGTCTTGACCGGACAGGATGTATCGCACAGCCTTCCGGTGCTCCCATCAACGTGAACTCGTACGAGGGACACGTGGAGGGGAAGGGTAGCGGCTGCCAACAGCCTCACATCGAAGCTTTGACGTTCCTAGAAGGGGCTTGACTGTGACCGTGGGTAGCTGCTATTAGTCAGTTGGCCAGTCAGTATTAACCACAGACCAACGACATACCTGTGAGCGAGGTCGCGTTCAGCATGAGGAAAAAAGTTGTCATTCTGCCACGGCTTCCGGATAGCCGAAGTGAACTGAGCTGAGAGGACTGACGCGCGTACCCGCAATATTGGCACGAGTTTAGGACCACGGCTCCAACGGCATTGGAAGAACATCCTCGACGAGGGGCAAGAAAGCCGGAAAGTCTCGAACCCTCGGACCCGTCAATCGAGAATGCCGCGAGCCAAGAAAATATCACCTCACTCTTGGTCTCTTCTTCCTCTCATCTACCTGCCTTGAGTCGACAGCGTTGAGTAAATGATGCTACGTTTAGCAATATGAATATAGTCCCGAGGTGATCTGCGAAACAGATCCGAGTCGTCAATCTCTCGCCTCAGTTTCCTTCCGTCTCAGCTCTCTCAGCGTCTTTCTCTCTCTCTCTCTCTCTCTTTCTCTCTCCCTCTCTCTCCCTCCCCCCCCCCCCCTTTCTCTCCCCAAACCCAAGATGCCCAGGTCCATCGGAGGCGGACCGGGTCCAGCTGCGTTTCATGTTGTTCGCGTCCGGTGGTCGAGTGCGCGCTGCGCCGTGCGGCGGTGCTTCAGGGCATTGGGCCTTGTTCTTTTCCTTTCTTTCTTTTCTTTTCGAACCATTGCCGAGTTACAGCGTTGTTGATGTTGACGAGTGATATGTGTGTTGTCGAAAAAGATGCCGTCCTTCGGAGGAAAGAGGGTACCTCCCCAATCTCCGGTCGCTACTGCTTTCAAGCAGGCGCACGAAGGGTTCACCGAGGAAGGTGTAGACCAATACCGGCACTTACCTCGGGGAGGGGCCGGTGGATGGATACGAGGGGACCAATTGGCCAATGAAACGCGCTCTATTGCTCCTGGGGTTTTCCTCTCGTCTGTTTTTTTCCATTCCCACAAGAAGATACCCACAGAGGGGTTCAACGGCGTCTCATATCAGTGCAAGGCCACCAACATTTATCTGTCTAGGTAGGCTTCGTTTCTTCTCATATACGCATTTGTTCATCCAGTCCCGCACGATTCTACAGTTTTGGACGTTAAATTTCTGTCTATCTGACCACGAGGAGGTTGGAAAAAAGAAAAAGAGAGAAAAAAAAAAAAGGCAGGGAGAAAAGACATCCATCCTAGTGGCGGATTACCTCCAGGACCCTCTCCATACATCCATTGTATGTCTGCCCCGCCATCGGCCCCTCCATTTGAACTCTTATGCCCCCCATCCACTGCGTCACAGCAAGGGGAGGGGGGGAAAAAAAATACAATGTACAAAAAACAGACAGACAAGCCCTCCATCGCCGTCCGCTATCTGTGAACCTGGCGATGTCGAGGAGCTCCGAGTTTGCACCGATACCACTATCAGAAAGTAGCCCACAAAGCATAATAGGAATTGACATATTGCCCTCCGTGAGGACGCTGTCGGAGCGAAGGATTTGACAGGTCATCACGGCAAGACTCGACTAACACACGGGGACGTTGCCGCCGCCTTACCGTAGGTAAGCACTTACTTGGTTTGGCCGCATTACACCGCATATTGCACACAGTTCCCGTCCGCGTTCGGAGAGGCACTTCGTCCCCTTTCCATATGTACTGGTAGGAAATACTGTAGAGAGGAGGAACCTGTTCGATTCTGGTTTGTGTCGGCGGGTCTACCTCCGAAGAGGGGAACAAGGGGGGAACAGACAGAATCAAACTGCTGATGCACACAAAGGCAAAAGGCAAACAATTTTTACGTTTTTTATCCCGAGTGTGAGAATCCACTTTCTGAGTCACACACTCACACACACCTAGCCCAACTCCAGTCTCCCACTCGAGCCCCTCCCCAAAAAGGCCACTACCGGTTGTCCCCTTCCCCTGTGGACGAACATTCATCCTCCCACTCCTCGGTCAACGACGGCTCAAGCAGCACAGATTCACCACACGATACCCAGTCCGATCCAATCCCAGCCCGATAGAACTTCGTTTCTATCGCTAGCATCTGCGTAAGCTTATCTTCCCTCCCCGTGATTGGTCTTGGACCCGGCTGCTCCCGCCGCCCGGTCTGGCCCGCTTCGCCCTCGACCGTTTTAGGACGCCAGGCGGCGGTGCGGCGCGCATCTCACGATCAAAGGCACCCACCAAAACCCGACGCCCAAGGGGCGACCAAGAGCCTCGGGGCCGCCGTGCCGTAGGTAGACTTTGGAGGTGCAATGGCTGACGGACGGCACAGTTCTTGATACTCTCGTGGAATATACAGTCAAAATGCCCGGTCTCGACCTTGAGCATGAGCCCCTCGCGGCCGACGACGTGAGAAGTGAGTCACTTTGATTTTTCTGATATTTCAACTCATAGTTTTACCGATCCGGATTTTGAACTGAACCCACACCCATCTCCGATATCCCACTCACCCTTGGGACCCTGTTCTTCCCTCTGCCCCACTCAGGCTGTTGAAGCATCCGACTTCATCTCAAGACAATGGCGTCAAGTTAACGACGGACAACCTGCATTCAGAGCCCGTCTCGTACGATTCAAATTATGCCTCTTATAATCTTGACCCCGCCCCCGCCTGAACTCACTCACTGCTCACTCACACTCTCACCCACTCACTCACTCACACCGCCGCCGGCCACAGTCACCATGACCAAACGCCCATGAACTAACACGCCCTCCAGTCCTGGGACAGGACCCTCTGATCCCTCCCGCCCTCCTCAGCTCCGAGATCCCCATGACGGATGCCGCCCTCCAGACAGTCGTCAAGGGCCGCAACGAGGCCGTCGACATCATCATGGGCCGCGATGACCGCCTGCTCGTCATCATCGGCCCCTGCTCGCTCCACGACCCCGCGACCGCCCTTGAGTACTGCGAGCGTCTCAAGGCCCTCGCTGCCCGCCTCTCGGGCGACCTCTGCGTCATCATGCGCGCCTACCTCGAGAAGCCCCGCACCACCGTCGGCTGGAAGGGCCTCATCAACGACCCGGACATCGACTCCACCTTCAAGATCAACAAGGGCCTCCGCATCTCCCGCCAGCTCTTCCGCGACCTGACCGCCGCCGGCATGCCCATCGCCAGCGAGATGCTCGACACCATCTCCCCGCAGTTCCTTGCCGACTTCATCTCCGTCGGCGCCATCGGCGCCCGCACCACCGAGTCCCAGCTCCACCGCGAGCTCGCCTCCGGCCTGTCCTTCCCCGTCGGCTTCAAAAACGGCACCGACGGCAACCTCGGCGTCGCCATCGACGCCATCGGCGCCGCCGCCGCCAAGCATCACTTCATGGGTGTCACTAAGCAGGGCCTTGCCGCCATCACCCGCACAAAGGGCAACGAGCACGGCTTTGTCATCCTCCGCGGTGGTTCATACGGCCCCAACTATGACAAGGAGAACGTTCAAAAGGCCAAGGACACGCTCAACAAGAAGGGCCAGAAGCAGGCTATCATGATCGACTGCTCCCACGGTACGTTTCTTCCCTCGTTGGGAATGGACCAAACGCATGTATGGGACCGCCCGGACTAACAGCCCCCTCCCAGGCAACTCCAACAAGGACCACCGCAACCAGCCCAAGGTCGCCGCCGTCATCGGCGACCAGCTGCGCGAAGGCGAGACCTCCATCATCGGCGTCATGATCGAGTCCAACATCAACGAGGGCAACCAGAAGGTCCCCGCTGAGGGCCCCGCCGCCCTGAAGAAGGGCGTCAGCATCACCGATGCCTGCATCAACTGGGAGTCCACCGTCGGCGTGCTCGAGGACCTCGCCGCCGCCGTCCGCGCCCGCCGTGAGCGCAACGTCGGCTCCTCCAAAAACAACGAGGACTCCCACAAGGTCACCCACCTCGAGGAGGAGTAAACCTGTCCTCTGTTGTGGGAGGGTAGCGAGGTTTGAGAGTGCCGGGGAGGTGATATAGTACAAGAGGGGAAGAAAGGACTCGATTTAGGCGGGACAAAAGAACATACTACACATATGCGTTGCACTTGCATGATTCCGAGGGGAGGGGCAAACAGAAAAGTCTTTTTTTATACGTTATTGGTTTTTGCGTTTGATGGTCACGATGCTTGGGTAACGAATGCTTGCGTTCCTGGTTCGTCGCCGAAGACTGCCCGGGACGCTGGATAGAGGTAGATAGCTTTGCGAAACATGACTCAGCACTTCTATCTTGCTACTTGTCGACAGCACGCCTCTATCTGTGTCGTGAAGTGGCCATTCGTACATGGCCCCTCGCTCGTGAACACAAGTCTTCCCCCAAATTCATCCGGAACGCCAAAACCCATACACCAGTCGACAACATCAACTCGGCGTCGCCACTGGGTTGTAATTTCCTCTCCCCGCTCCCGCCCTGGCAGCGTCGGCCGCGCGCTTCCCCTCGCGCAGCTCGTTGACCCTCTTGAGCGCGGCCCAGCCCAGCAGGCCCGCGGTGCCCAGGATGAAGCCCCAAACGATGACGCGGTCCTTGTTGCTGTCACGCTGAAAGCACATGGTCTGGACGTTCTCCTCAGTGGCGTCGCGGCAGAAGCTGATGCCGCTGGCGAGGCAGAACGCTTTGGTGCACTGGGAGCAGGACGAGGACGCGGCGCGGCGGGAAGGGGCGCCGCCAGATTGATTGTCCTGGTGTTGGGGCCCGAGGGCGACGATGGTGCTGTTCTTGAAGCAAGTACATCTGCAGAATGTCGGCGCTGCTTAGAGAAAATGTTAGTAAATGGCCTCCGAGGAGTGGCTGATCACTGGGGGACGGAGGAGAAGCGACGAAGGACTGACAATCTGCGCTGACAAGCGCTACCAGCCCGCAAAGAAGCAGTAAAAGTAGAGATATTCGGTTCATATTGTCTGGTTTGGTCAACGGGACTGCTTCGTCTCCCCGTTGCGACACAGTCTCTATTTCTCTCTCTTTCTCTCCTCCAAAACCATTTGACGTTGTCGCCGTCAAAGGCTGAGGCTCCAGAGGTGACGGCGTGCACGAGCCACATTCGGCCCGGCTGCGTGCAATACACCCCTGCTGTGGCAGCACTCCTGTGGCTGAAGCTTTCCGGTTTCTAATTCGCCAGCGCGGCCCCCCGGCATCCAAAAAAAGTTCAATTGGAGACTTGCAGCTCCCTCTCTGGCAACATTGTGCCGTAACGTCAAGGAGGGAAAAACCACCAAACTTCCTCACAACCAGGTTCCCTTCCCCGAACAAAAACCGCCCATCATGCGCCGCGTACCACGTCTCCGGCAGTCGGGCCTGCTCGCGGTGTCCCCGATGCATTGCACCTGTACCGCCGCGCCCGCCACCCTCCCCATCCAAGCGACGGCACGACGAGCCCTCTCGACGACGCCTGCGACGCACAACCGACTCCGCAAGGCCCTCTGGAAAGGCGGCGACGCCCCTGGCCCCGAGGACCCCTACACGCCCGAGTCGTCGCAGGCCCTCCGGCAGCAGCAGCTTGAGCGCGAGCTCGCCGAGGCCGAGGCCGAGCTGGCGGCGTACGAGGCCGACGCCCAGCAACACGTCAAGACGCAGAAGACGGACAGGGAGCGGAGGCACGTCACCAGCCGACTGACAGGCAAGATCAAGAACCCGCGCGTGTGGGCGCCGACGGAGAAGGAGGGTGAGGCCAAGGGCTACGTGCCGGCCCAGACCGCCGACGGGCTCGAGGAGATCGGCGGCCTCGAGGGCTGGTGGGATCAGGAGGGTCGATGGGGCAAGGAGAGCCAGTACGTCACGTTCACGCGGGGCGGCAAGGTCCTCGACGCAGCAGTGTGCGAGGCGCTGGTCAGGCAGGCCGTAGTCGAGGTGCTCGCTGTCCAGGGCACGCGGCCGGACCACCTGACTGGCACATGGGCCAAGGGCGGCCGCAAGAACTTCAACCGCGCGATGATGGTGCGCCTGGTCGCTCAGGAGGACGGCAGCCTCGCTCTCCAAGGCGACGCCGAGGTGACCGCTGCCATTGGCCGCGTCGCCACCATCGAGTCCAAGGGGACCGAGGCCGAGGCCTACCTCACGCCCGAGGAGGCCCAGGAGCAGATCAAGCATTGGGACCCGAGCTGGAAGAGCGCCTCTCTGCAAGACGTGCGCTTCAAGTTTGCCGTAAGTCCAATCACAGCCCCGCGTCCCCAAAGGCGACGACGCACTAACAGGAAGCAACGCAGGTCCACAAGCGCGTCTTCCAACTGACGGGCCACCACGTCCACGACGCCAAGCTCGCCCAGGTCAAGACGGTGGCGGACCTCATCAGCACCATCGTCAAGCCGCCGAAGCCGACAAAGCTGGCCGACGCGGTGCGCGAGCGCGGCGAGCTTCTCGAGCTGCCCAATGTGCGCGTCCACGACCGCCGCGTCACGCCCATCGACAAGGAGACGGCCGTCGGCCGGTGGAAGGTCATCACGCAGGAGCTCGAGAAGCGCGGCCTGCCAGTCACGGGCCATGAGCATCTGCCCAAGCCGGTGCAGAAGAAATGGATTCAGGGCCGGACGTAAGCGGCGCTGGTTCGGGAGTTCGGTCTGGGGGGGTTGGCGAGAGGGGGATGAATGCAGGGAGAACAAATATGGGAGAAAAGTGAGGATTGTGTCCGGCATTGAAGAGGCTTGTACAGATATTGTACTCTGTGTAACATATGGAATATCATCGATTCTTGCTCTGCCATTTGTTCTACGGGCGCTCATGGATTGAAGAGATACCACATGAATGAGTCTTGTTGTTTGCGAGGGGGAGGATATGAGATATTTGGCTATGACGATACAGAAAGGGGCCTGGTGGAAGCTTTGTCACTACCTGTTGCACCAATCTCCGTCTGACTTTACACAGCTGCCATAATTCGCCATCGTCTCTCGCAATTGTACGGAATATAGATAGAACCAACAGGAATACCTTCATCCCCTTTCGATTTTACAGAGGATATGTTCGAAAAAAACCGTACATGGAGAGACGTACTGGGCACGCGATGATTATTATGAGTGGAAAGAAGATTCTCCTCAATAGGCAGGAGCACCTTTGCCCGGTCGCGCCTTCCCTCGTCCTTCAGGAGTCTCACACTCAATTCCATGACTTGTCGCCGTCCTCTGCCATTTTCCAACTTCCATCCAACTCTCCTGCAATCGCTCCGTCCTTCTTCTGCCTCCCTTATCTTCTCGCCTCTCTACTTTACCACCTTCCCTCGACTCTTTCACGTCCTTTCAACGCATATCTATCGACCGGGAACGGAAGCCCAGAACCCTCGTGCCTTCTTCACAACTCACTGTGTTTAGATCTCTTGTCATCGTCCAATAAGACTATCTTTTCTCAATCGCCATCGATGACCGTATCCTGGCGATTAGTTGCGCAGGCCCGTGAACAAGACATGAACTCATACGCGTAAGCCATCTTCTCCATATGACTGATTGCATTTCATTGGTCTTTCCCATGGTAAGTGAAAACACCCATTCTGAGCTTCTTCGCTTGTGTCATTGCTACAACTAACACTCCATGCAGAATGTCGCAGCCACCAAACCTGCTGCATTTTTCCGTGGCAGAGGGACAGCGCTTGTGGAAGGGATGGGCCATGATCCAAATAGACCCAGCTTTCTCCAAATATCCGGGCCTTCGTAGCCAAGTTGTGGAACAGCTGGACAAGCTGGTGTTTGAGGTGGATTACAGTCAACCACACCCATCGTCCCAGCCAGCATGGAACCGTCTGAAGGGAGTTTACGCCATATTAGTTTACGCCACATTGACCCCTTTCGTGGGTGAGATTCCCAGTCCCGTCGACTGTGAGGTCGTCAGGATCGCCAACAAAGGCCTCGTGCATGAGTACATCGATGAAATTCTAAGAGCCTATGGATGGGACCCAGTCAAGTGTTGCGACCCATCCATCGACGCCTTGAAAAGGGTACTGCCCGGGCGTGTTTTCCCAGGCTTGGGAGACAATTGTCCCCTGGCGAAGATCCAATCGATTGACTTTGATGTTTCTTCTTCCGCAGTCGTGAGTTCGGGTTCCCAGCAGACATATCAGCCGGTTCCGTCATCCTCGGGGGGGCAGCAAGCCTTCTTATTCAGGATACGGCGGCCAAATTTCTAGCCCTGCTCTAGCCGTGCCGGCGACTCAGGTGGCACCTTTACAGACATCTTCCCAAGGTCCAGCTTCAACAACGACGACTCCATCGCAGATATCTCAGGCCAGGGGGAACCAAACCAGCTCGATGGACAAAAAGGCAGCTCCTTCAGACATGGCACCATCAACGACCACGCCGGGGGCTTCTCAGCCATGTCAAAGCCCGCAGCCTGCAGCTTTCCAGATCCATGCACAGACCGTGCCAATCTCTGGAGTTGCGTCTGCCAGCATGTCGAATCCATTTTCTCTCGGAGGTTGTCAGACTCAAGGGAGCCCTCAACTGCCTACGAAACTTCAGGCAGGTCCATTTTTCGCATCAAGTCTGAACCACTCGACTGGGAAATCGATCTTTCAGCAGCCAATGGGTCGACCTGCCAAGGATGGTCATCCTCTCACAAAGGCCACCGCAATTTCTTGTCAGTTACAGCCCTTTGCATTCAGTGTATCGGCACATCCCGCCAAGGTGCAGACACTAGTTGCCGGGGGCCCATCAAAGCCCTTGCCAACCATAAACCCCTTTTCAGGGGTAAAAGCCGATAATGCATCACTCGTTCGACCATCCGGACAACCAAGCACTCTGATATCTCAATTGAATTCGTCGTCTGCGTTTGGGCAAGTGCCAGCGAATATCGGGGCCTCAATACCCTCTGGACATCCGTCTTCGAACGCATCAACTCAATTGACAGCTTCCGCCGCCGCAGTGACCAGAGAGATCCATGTACCCAAGATTTCAGCTGCTCCCGGTGCAGAACCGGCACCCTCGATCGGCAAGAAGGGTGTTGCAAAGACTTCAGTCGCGTCTCCATCAAATCTCAACGTAGGCAACGGTACTAGTGCCTGTCCAAAGTCGAAGGAGAGCCCTCGCCCTACCAAGACCGAGGAAGACATTGTCTTATCCCCCCGTCTTCCGTCAAAGATAGCAGTCATAGAAATTACGGACGATGAGGAGGGAGAGGTGTGCCAGAACGTGCTAGGAACCCACAGTGAACAGGTTGAGCGCCTATCGGCTAGACTTGCGCACGATCTGCGCCCAATGCTCCACGAATACGTGCGGGATAAGCTTACGGTTGTCAACCAAGATGCTGCCACTTATATGCACCGAATAACCCGCAAGTTGCTGGGTCTCCAGAGTAATGCACACTTTGGGTTCTCTGTTCTTCGCGACGTGGAGGTCACGACGATGGAGAGCATGACGAATGAGGCCTCGGCGCTCATTGAAGACACCCTTGCTTAGATCGCGAACCCCACGAAGAATGCTACGAGTCAAGGAATCAAGCGCGAAACGGAAATGGACGTTGCTGAAGAGGCCGCCACCGAGATTGACCGACCTGTGAAGCGGCTGCGAGCTCGGAGGGCTTAGATGCTGCTGAACAGATGCAGCTGATCCAACGCCGATCTGAGGTTTGTGATGCCGCAAGGTGGCGAGCGGGTCGAACATCATGCTAACCTGATACACCATGCAGCGTTGACCGCGTCCGTCGCCCGACATCTCGGTATGATCTCGACCATTGCTTACAGGGCTCGGAGAAGTTGATAGTCAGCTCGTTCGAGTGGGCTGACTAGGAGTGGAATATTGCGTGTAAGAACTAGTATCTTTAGAGACTTGGCTCCGGTGGAGAAAATGTCGCGGCACGTCGAATTCGCAGAGTATACCAATGCAGGAGACCCTTTGTGCCATGGCCTCAGAGACACGAGATGGGTCCTGTTCCCGTCTTCCTAGTTAGCTTACACCAAGATTCAATCATTTCACGCAGTGTTGCACCTTTGTAGTTCCCGGAGGTATCATTCCGCTACCAGCGGCGCAGGACTGCAAGTTCATTCAAGCCTCAGTGGGCGAGTAGCTCAATTGGTGCTACCTGGATGCGTACTGACTCTAGGTCCTGTGTATCGTCATCTTTCATCACGCCGTAAGCAACGCTCATGCCAGTCATAAACCTCCGCCAACTCCTCCGAGCAATCCCTCTCGCAATACCATCGGCCACGTCCGTCGATTCTGTTATTGGCCGCCGTCAGCACACGTCCATCACGCGGGCGCGGAGAGAAAAGGGAGGGTGGGAGGGAGACTCAACAGTTGAAGCAGAAGCAGCCGTTGTCGTTGCCGATGCGCTCGGACAGGTTGACGTTGCAGTCGATGGGCTGGCCCTCGACGTTGAAGAGGCGGGCGCGGAGGACGGGGACGCCGGCGTCGCCCTCGATGCTGAAGTGGATGTCCTCGGCGCTCTGGGCGAAGTCTGTGTTGGAAGAGAACGGTTAGTTACCGATGACTCGGCGGATGACCGGGGGGAAGGAGGATGGGGAGGGAGGCAGAGCATAGAGACAGCAGAGAGACAGAGAGGAAGTGAGTGCTTACTGCTACCGCCCCACTCAAATGAGCCGTTGCTGTTGCCAAGGCATTCGTTGAGGTTGTACTCAGCGTCGACGCACTCGCCGTCCTCCCTGTTGAGACGGGCGCGGAGAATGTAGCCGTCGTCGACGCGGACGTCCTGGGCAGAGACGTGGAAAGACATGGTTGCTTGTTGGGTAGTTGGGGGGGGGGGGGGGGGGTAGGTTTGGGGTATCAAAAGGTGTTGTTGTTGCTCGAAGAGGTTGAAGTTGTTGCAGAAGAAGGGGATGGGAATGGAGGGGTGGGAGGAGGCGGTGACTTATATAGACGTCGTCGTCAGGGGGTAGGGGAGGAGGAGGAGGCTCGTTGAGCTCATCAGACGGTCTCGATTCCCACAGAGAAGGTAAGTTACCTCTGCCGCAGCGGGCGGGGAAGGTACAGCTCAGGAGGGGGGGGACGGCGAGAGGCCTCCATCGAATTCACTGGGGAAGTCGGTGTCGTTGCTGGAGACACGTGGAAGGAAAAGAGCGGTCTTGGACGGAAGTGGTGATGATGTCTTGGCGATCGTGGCACTCTTGCTCCTTAGTCTTGGACGCCCGCGAGTGGAATGGTGGGCGGCGGTGGTCTTGGTCTCGAGGAGGGGAGGGGCATACGGCAAAGCTCGCCCTATGGCCCATCTGAGGGACAGGTTTCCAATGGTAGGCGGGCGTAATGCGTTCACATCTCTGTTTGTGTCAATGGGGGCATCGAAGCTGGTTTTGCTACACCGGACCCCTACAAGATCCATTGTCTCGGTTTGCGTCTGTCGTTTCCCATAGGGTGAACCGCCCCGTCATCCACCAACGGACGTCGTCTTCGTGGAGCCAAGGATCCTCTGCCCTCCTCCGCCGTACAGGGGGGGGCGGGACCAGGGGAAGCTCCAGGAGCTTCGTTGGTTGGTGTGGAGGGGAAGGGGAGCTAGCTCGAGTGGGAATGAAATGGAGGGGCAGCTCTTTTTCGGACACGATGGCTGGTCCCGCTTAGCTTTAGCTGTTTGCGTGGTTCGACAAGCGGTCTGTTTTAACTACCTACATACCTACTTAATTGTGTATATTGCATCGTAGTCCTTACTGTCTCGAGAGGCGACCTCTATGGTTAAGATTAAACTTTAATTGTCGGCTGCGAAGCCAGTCAAATAGGGTAGTTGGATACCCGGATACCTCCATGGTACTATGTTTCAGCTGGAAACCGCTCATGCTGAGTACCGGGCATGATACTTATGCTGTGTGTTTTCCCAACCGTGTCGAGAGCATTATCGTGTATCTGGGCCTTGTATATACGTACATCAATGTACGCGTAGTCAGTCCATCGGCAGGCGAGAGGAGGCCTCGCCCGGGACGGGGTCGGGTCCCTGGGACCCCGCCGGCAAGCTGATGCCGACGACTCACGATGGGGGCCGCTTGGCAGACATGGGGTGGTGGGGGGGGGGGCGCTGTTGGACATGCATGCAGGGCGACACGCGCGGTGGAAAGACAGACGCTTTTGAGCAGACGGAGGCGAACGGTAGGTCGCCGCGTGAGATGCGAGGGGTGCACCGAGATGACGCGGCCTCTTGTTGTTGTTTGCCCTGCGGAAAGGGCGTTCTCCAAGGCCAGAGGTCGGAAGTGGGAGCGGGAATGTCTTGGCCGGCGGGAGGCAGCCGCGCGCTTGAGTCGGTTGAATGGTGTTTTCTTTTTTTCTTTCCTTCTGTTCCTTCTCTCCCGTTCTCCTCCCCTCTATTTTGATTCGAGACGGAGTGAGGGGTGACCACTTGGCAAGGCATTACCTACGCCCCTGAATGTGCCTCCCGTTGTCGCATATAGGCACGGAGACATGAGACGGATGTGAGCCCAATTGGCCATCATTCGATGTAAGCTCAACGGATGGCATGACACCCACGTGCCACAAAAGTCTACTCCCATGCCATTCTGTGCCGTGTCCTCACATGTGCCTGATGGTGATAGAGCTTGCAAACCCCCCACCAAATCGTCATTCCCAAGGTCATCCAAGCTGCAGCGGACGAGAGAGGACTTGGGGTCCGAATCAACGACGCTGACGGGGCCAGACAGCCGAGAGGATAGCCAAGGCTGGTACGGCTCGAGATCTCGGTCGAGTGGAATACCACAGGCTGCTGGTGGTGAAGGAATACACAAACTTCTGTTATTTTCTACCGTCGCCTATGGCGACTAGGAGGAGGAAAGGGGACATGCCGTGACGTCTGTTCAGCTGGGGGTCCGAGCCTAGGTAGCATGAGGCTGTCGGAACCCCTGGACCCCTTTCCCCCTCACCCATCCTCTTCCTATCCTATCCTTTGCACTATTGAGACTAGATCGGCAGCATTCCCTGACACACCCTCGGTCTCCTGGCCCCCCCCGACCGCCCGGCCCCGGGGGGAGGACAGACCTATCACAGGGGGCCCCGAGGAGGGGGACGGTTTTCGGCCGGGAACGGGGGGTTCGTGGGCTCGCGGCATGAACCGGAGCGTTCCCGTGTGTGACGCTGGCAAAGCCCGCGGGGCCGGCCCTTGGGGTCCGAGATCTTAGCAATGGAACCTCTGTGATCATCACACGAAACACGCTCGATGGGGCGGCTTGGCGGTCTAGAAATGTTCCCGTACTACGTACGGCGACAGCGGTCACCACGGGTCGTCGGGCGAATGGCGAGGGTGACGATCGGTGGTTGCACAGGCCACCATCCGAGGGGTTTTGTCCTTTGGAGGGGTTCGGAGGGAACCAGAGAGCTAAGGCGGGGCGGGGCGGGGTTCGGACTCATCACAGGAGCGGTCAGAGGCTCGTTGGGAGAGACGATCCCTAAAGGGTTTGGAGTCAACCGAGTCCATCAGGGTTGATGCGAGGCACCTTGAGGGTTCAGGCGAGTTGTATAAGAAGGGGAGGACGAGAAGTCTAGTTTTCTCGAGTGTTGTTCTACTACAGCGTTATGCAACTTTTTGGATGGTTTGTTTTGTCTGGTTGGAGATGTGTTTTACGAAACCAGCACTATGCACCATGCTACACTGCCCGGTGAAACTAACCGCGCTGCCAGGAAAGAGCAAAGAGTTTCGACGACTCAATATAAAAGTGGTATTCAAATGAGCGACTACGCTAGTCGACAGGTCCGATCGAATTATGTGGGAAACGAAGCAACCCGTCCGCCATTTACAGCAAGCACCGATCCCGTTCGAACCCAGAACCGTAACCCATCCCTGAAAGTCAAGAAATTCATATCGTCATCGTATCGAGAAAGGACGAAGTCGTGAAATAAGGATCGGTTCAAGAGATCGCAAAAGGGAAAAGGCGTTTAGTGTCCGCAAGAGGAGCACTTGCAGCCAGAGCCGCAGTTGCCTAAGGTATGTTAGCGCCGGTTTTTATTATCCCCAACGCCGACAGTGAATGTCGTGACGAGGTAGGTAAGGGTAGGCAAGGGTAGGCAAGGCGGTAGGGGGGGTGGTCACATACAGGTAGAGGAGCCGGAGCAGCCGCAGTCACCCTTCATTTTGATGGTATTTGGTTGGTTTGGGGGGTTTTGGAAAAGAAGTTTGGTTGAAGATGAGGTGATGAGCTTGGTTGTTGCGTTATGGAGATTAATCCAAAAGACGTCGGGAAGAGGGAATGAAAGCGTGCACTTATATATTCAGAAGTCTCTCTCCAGACAGCCACACATCCCATGGCCAGCGCCTAAAAAAACAGAAGGAGGGGGGCCGCGGCCGTCGTCGAGTAGCAGGAGGAGGGGTCAGATGTCAGATGAGGGTGGCCAGATGGAGCCGGATCGAGAGGCGTTATTGGGCGAATGCGCCGTTTGTGCGGAAACACAAGGCTCGATACCGTTACGCTCGGGGCTGGAGTGGGGTTTGCGGCCTTTGTGCGTTGACGATGGCCAGTCGTCCATCTCTGGTGGGATGGGGACTCTGGAACGGGCCATGCATGCCCATGGAGGGGGAGGGGAGGTAGAGGCGCGCTGCTCCCCCCTTCTTGGACTTTCTTTCCTCTTTCGCGTCCTTTTTGCGGCCCTCCTGATCCGGCTTATCGCATCGTCGCCAGATAAGGTTCAAGGATTGCGTCTTTTGTGCGAGATGGGCTAGGATTCATCGAATTGTTCATTTATGCGTCCTTTGCAGTCAGAACCCCCAGATCCCTGGACGGAAGGGCCTAGGTGAGAGTTCCGGCTAGTCAAGGCCAAATACGGTAGGTGTTTGATGGCATCTTCCAGCACCCACGAGACCGACCTGGGCGATACCTAGAACGGTCCCCGTTCTCTCGTTCAGGCAGGACCCTGAAGCTCTGGTCCGTCCTAGGCTCCTAGCTGGTGGCTGACGTCGAGCGCGGCGGGGGAGTGGCGAGGAAGGGAATCCTATCTTTTTGCCTGTCCCCCGAATGCCCCCCAAAGGTCAAAACTCTCCCAATGCGCTAACGCCCGCGCTGATGGAGGGGTGAGGGGTTGTTGATGGTGGCCATGACGTCGCTTCATATGCGTACCCATGGGTGGCTATACTGTGTTGCGTCTTTTGTGCGTGAATCTCTTCCACTCGCTCCTGGGCGACCCGATGTAGTTGAGACCATACCGGCATCATCGGGGAGGCATTTGTTTGTGCCTTTACTGCGAATCCGAGACACCCGCGTTTATCGGGAGTTTCGCGATGACTCTGTTCAGCGGCCCTTCTCACATGGGCGGGCCCGTGTCTTTCCATTCGGTACACGTTGTAATCTCGTCGCCACCTACCGCTTCTTCAGCGGTAGGCAAAGTGTACTTGACAGAACCCCACCATTGACACGACACGACGTCCCCACGGTGCCCAACGTTTGTGGATGTATGTGTGTACTTTGGGTAGCGGTTAACAGGCAGACAGATTGCGGGGCAGCACTTGAGTCATCAAAGTACCTCTTGAAGTCTCTCGCTTAATCCTGCACAGACCTACGCACAGACCAGCTTACCCTTTTCCTACAGAAAAAAGAAGAAAACAGAGATATCTCTATAAGCTTAAGGTGCATCTAGAATATAATAGCACAAATCAACTTTTTAGAGAAATTTACCCCTAGAGACTTACACCTTAAATAAGAGTATATATACTATAGATTATACTAATAAAAAAGCTTTTTTTCTCTTTTTGTTGACTTAGGAGTTAAAGATTTGAAGTTAGTAGATGAAGTTGGTGGTGTGGAGAATTTGTGACTTAAGAGGAGGTGGGTCAGTACTTTGAGATAGTCTGAGATGCTAAGGTTTGACCCGCAATCTGTCTGCCTGTTAACCGCTACCGTACTTTGGCCTCCTACGATGCCGATGCGCTATGTTTGCTGCCGGTTCCCGTCGCAACCACCGGTTGTTGACCGGCGTGTCGAAGTGCTTCCTTGGTCACCATGCTAGCCCTCGGCTGGCGTTCTCCTCCGCGCCCCATCCTTCAGCTCCAGTCCATGGGGTGTGATTTCGGATTAGAGCGAAGAGCTGGATTGCCTCGGGATTAAACCATGGACCCTTCCCGGGCAATATATCCGCGCCATGCCGCTGGGCCTGCATCATTGCGCTGCATCCAGGCGCCTTTGATCCCCAGCCGTCAGCGGCGAATTCTTGTCAGGGCTGTAATGCCGGGCCAATCTTGTTGGCGGATTGGCATCTCGCTTCGCCTTCTTGCAGCTGCTTCGGGTGAGGAACTTGCTCAAATAGTGACCGAAGCGCCCAAGACACGGCGATGACATCGATATCTTTCTCAAATGCGAGCAGTTCGCTGCATTGCCATCCGTCGTGTCGAACAATCGCGCGGGTGAAGGGGGCTGACAGACACGAGTGACCCGTTTGGGAAAGGATCGGTCGATGCCGGGACGAGAGGACATCGCCCCGCACGTGAATCGTGCACAGACCATACCGCGGCTGGTAAGGCACGTGACTCCTTCGGGGGCGCTGGCTCGGATCTGTGTGTGGAGTCTCTCGCTGGCTTCAATGTCCCTAACCGCTTTCTCAATCAAGGTCACGAGGTGTAATGAGCACTTCTCGAAGGATTCGTATTTGGAAACTATCTTGGGGCGTTAAGTCACCTTTTAGATTAGCCTTGTACTAGCATCGAGGTCCGGTGAAAAACCACGAGGTCCTCCGGGCCGAATTCTTTTTGGTGGCTGGGCATCATCTTTGTTCGTGTCCGTTGATTTCTGTCCGTCAGCTCAACGTCAACTGCCGCCGGATCGACTCGAGCGAACAACCATGGCCTGAGGGGCTAAGCTCATGCATGACCTGGGCAACGCATCCATCTCGAGGCTCATGCCGACGTGTACCCGTTCAAAGCCCACTAACTGAGACTGGTTCTCGTCACGGTGATATCACAGAGACGAATGAGAAGTATCAAAGGTGATGCATCCTTCATCTGTGGACGCTCATACGGAATGCATCTTTTCATCACACGCACGAGCACCGGATCGCCGTCGTCATTTTGCTGTTCGACGCGAACTATATCCTTCATTAACTCTCCGAATCTCGGCCAAAGCCAAGTCGAAGTCACCGGATATCCTTCCGAATGCACGTTAATGGTCACACCCGACTGCTAGTCCAAACTCCGGAATGAACGCTTTGGGACGCCAGACCTTCTATCTATGCAGACTTGCCCATTTGTGTTACACCACCCCATCTCGAATAGCATCATCCCGAACCCGGAAGCCCGACTCACTAGGGTTAACTTGTCCATCATCCACAGCCGTGTTTCTCTGTCTGTAAACCCGGACTGCAGCACAGTGATCAAAGGCCATAACATGCACCAAGCATTGAACGCGATGCCCTGATTCCTTGACGCAGGTTCCCTGCCGTCAAACCCGAACACGACACGGATCTGCTCGCAGACCTGCTCTACCGCCGTTAAACCGTGTGGGAGGCTGGCGAGCATCCTGAGCTCCTCACAAGTGGGTTCGCCGTGCGCGATGGACAGGTTGAGGATGAACCCGATCACCTGGAGTCTCACGGTGAGATACATGCTCTTTACCACGGCCTCGGTCCCGTACGACCATCCACTCAACACGTTGTTGAAATTGTTCGACTCCCCTCCCATTGCTCTAGTTTGCTGTGCTGTCTTCCGCGGCCCTGGCGACACGATCCTGTAATTTGCGGCTGCTCCAAGATCGCGGATGATGCCAAGTCCTGTCTGGAGAATCCCTATGATGGGCGCCTTCCGACGTTTGATAGACGTTATCACGCTGCCAACCGCTCCCTTGAATTCCACCGCCCGTGCCAATAACGGCTCTACCACGGCATGTCTCGCCCAGGAGGCGTTCTTCACGACATTAAAAATCAGGTCACGACGTTCCCCTCCGGCAAAAACCTGGAGGAACTACACGTCATCAGCAGTGCTGTTGATTGGATTAATCTCAGGGGAACTACTAACTCCGATATGGGCGACAAACGCCAATATGCGACTATCCAGCGAGCTGGCGACCCCTTGATCGGCTCGGTATCCTTACAGTGTGACACGGTCTTTGGCAACATCGCTTCTGGTATCAGTCCCTGCACCGCGTTAGCACACTGTTGCTGAATTGCACTTCTCGAGCCGCCCGACGTGCTTCACCGAGACCCACCTCGTATATGCACATTACAAGCAGCGCAACGGCGACCGAGTCGTCCTGCGCCATTGCGGGGTTCTGCAAGGCCGAGTTGATATTCGCGATGGCACTGCCGTAGTATCGCTTCGCCAGGGTCATCAGCCCCGCCTGCCGCGTCTGCATGGCAGAGCTTGCGAGCGCCGTAGCCCGGAGCGCCCCCTCGAAGGCGGCGGACGAGGTGCCCGACGCCCTGAGGCCGGCCAGGAGGCTGGACCAGGCGGTCTCATCCGCACATGCGTAGTTTGAGTAAAATCGCTCCAGCCAGACGAACTCCAGGTCGACCTGGAGCTGCTTCGGCACCGCCGACCTCCTCCTCGCGCTTTCATCCGCTGCCGCGCCTAGAGAGTTTGCTCTGCCGCCGCCTGCTCCGCTTGCCGCGTCACTCGGGGCCTCCCTCTCCCTGAGCCGCTTCGCGACGCGGAGCTCGACTTGGAACGCTGCTATTGCGTTCTCTGAGCGGTGCGCGACCGCCCAAGGGTCTGCGTAGCCAGGGCATGGTTTTCCCCGGCCTTCGCAGCGGCGACATGAAGGCTTCCGCAGGTCGCAGGGAGTACGCAGTCAGCCGTATCAGCCTGCGATGAGTGAGTTGGAAGAGCGGGGTAATTATACTTTAACCTTGCTCGCTCTGCAAGCAAAGCAACCCGCCAACGGACGTCACCTCATGATGCAGGCAAGCGAAAGCCCTTTTGCAATCTTGACAGTGGGTCAGCGTCGAGTCTGGCATTGTGGACCAGATCTGCAATCGATGTATCGACGGCAGATTGTTGAATCGATCCGCAAGATTCCAAGTCAGATTACTCGGTGGCGTTCAGCCAACTCCAAAGATTCATAAATGAACAAAGCGCTCGCAAACGGACAGGTTGAAGTTTGGGTAAATAGAACAATTTGAACTCCAAAGCCCGTTACTCTTGAATCGAGACCTCCCCCTTTTGGTGGTAGCAGATTTCATCATGCTCTGGAGTGTGCCATATTCTGCTAAGTGCATACCAATGGTGTACTAGTAGCTCGTGTATCATTTGGTCTCTTTCGATTCTGATGGGGATTGGCTCTTCGATATAAATCGGCGTGTCTCAAAGAGGTCAAAATATACTTTCATTCTTTGCGCAGGTGACGGGTTCCTTGATCTGATATAGGAGCTATGTAGGAGAGGGTTGCTAAACTTGTTGTTCGTTTCTAAACAAAGGTCCGTGTTTGATTGGCATCAATGCGAAAGCAATTCTGACGGCGAAGGGCACACAAATGTGAGAACGACTAAATGATATTGTCTGCGTTCTGAGAGGGCCATATGCATTCTTAAGCTCTGCAATACAAGACGCATATCGGCGCACTAGGACTGTTCCTCCTTGTCTTTTCTGGTCGCTTCCCAAGAGAATAGGGTAAGAAGGTTATTATAAACGTGCGCCTATAGTGCGAACTCTAGCAATAGCGCGTACAATATTGTATCAGATCAGTTGCTGCTCTGCTCCGATGAACACCTGGCTTGAGTAAGCATAATAAGCATGCCTATTCGGCCTCTGCCTGTGCGGCAATACCTCAATAGGTACTTAAACAGCTCGTATTTTACAAAAGTCCTCGCACGGACGGTTTAATTCCGAAACCCTCAGTCTTCCTCGCTGGATTCCAACACCACAGACAGTCTTCTCGGCCGTATGGACGCCGACACCCTCCCGGCTTCTTTGGACTTCGTCGAGGTCGTCCTTCTCGACTTTGCCTTCTCTTCCCTCTCCTCACTGACACTCAGCCGGACCATATCTCTCAGGTCGTTCTCCCAACTCCTGTCGCTTTCCTTCGTGCTCGTGTTGGTAAGCCCCCAGTCGACAAGCAGTGCGTGTCGCTCGCTGGCGCAGTCCTCCTCCTTGACGCCCCCGTTTCTTCCGGGCATGATGCAGTCGCCAAACTCCTTCCTAAGGCCATCGAGCTGCTCATTGCATTCTTTGGCGGCCGCCGTCCTCTCCTTGGCCTGCAGGACCATGAATTTTGCAATTGCCAATTTCTGGTGGACGTAAGTGCAGGCCGATCTAGCACACTCTTCGTAAGAGGCCGGCTTATCGAAGCAGCTTTGACCAGTACACACTTTTCGGTCTGATTCCCAGTGACGCTTGGTACGCGCATTGACTGCGTGATCTCTAAGCGATCTTTTGAATCTCCACAGATCCATGGCGTGTTCTTCTCTGAGACTGGCCTGCAGAGTATCGTGGAGTGTCTCGAGAACGCGGCGCTCGATGCTGTAGGCTGCGACTGCAATCTTGATACATTTGGATGCCATAAGATCTGATTCACTGCTGTCTCTGTCTGTCTTGGGTCCGGACAGCGTATTTTCCAATTCAGTTGATGGCATCGCTCCGTGTTGGTCGAGCGATGGGGACGCAGCACCCCTTCCAAGCCCAAAATACTTATTGAAACCCATTGCCAATCCTTAGACCTAACCTAGGATCGTAGAAGACTGCTGGTCGCCTTTAGAATAACGTGGATTTGGATTGGATTGTGGAATGAGATGGGCTTCCTCGTCAAAGATCTAGGTTGTCTCGAAAAAGGATGAGAATGGTTGACAAGCTCATGCGCAGGATGGGACACTAATACAGGTTCTGCCATCTTTCTCCGAAACATTTTATCTCCTGTGGATTGAGCCGCGGGACAGTGTTTTCCAGTCGATGGTTCTCCCAAAAGCTTGAGGTAACCATTCCATGAACCATCCAAACTGTATGTTTATCACGATCGGTAACTCTCAGCTCTCCCCGCAAATGCTTCGTTCTGAAATCCCATCAACACGAGCAGTGACTCCGATCCTTTCAATCCAAAGAGGGTGATTATTTATGTTCTGAGAGGCTTAGTCCGCAGTGGACGTCCCCTTTTGGCCGGTGAAACTTCACTTCATACGCGCGCCCATACCAAAGGAGAGTACTTTAATTATCGAATCTTTCTCTGCGTAATCCACAAACTCTTAGATTGACTTGCGTGAATGAATATTAGTCTCTTGACATTGGTTACGTAGTGGTTATAGTTGCACAAGAGAAATAATGATGAAAGATGTAGGTTACTAGACGTGGCCGAGGTCAACGAAAAGTATATATATATATATATATATATACCTGGCTGGCAATTTGGAACTCTTCTAAAGATACCCAACGGGACCAACATTGCGAGTCTGAATCGCTTACATGGGGTTTTCGTTACAGAGCCCTTATTGGCACACAGAACAATCGCTTTCAGGGGCTGGTTAAATTTACTCTTTTGTACGCCAGTTTCCAGAAGCCAGAGACCTAAGCGGTTGCGAGGGATTGCTGTTTCTACTGGAATCGTTGTTGCTGGGTTTCCTCCATGATGAACGCTCGCCTGCCGAGGACTGGTTCTTGCGCGTGGGTTTATCACTCCAGACCGTGTTGTCCCTACTGGGGGGGTCCCTCTCATTCCTGGGATGGAGGCGGTCTTTCAACTTGTCCGGCAGAGGCTTGGCTACGTTGACGCGTAATCGTTCGTCAGCCCACAGCTTCCCGTTCAACGCTTTAAGCGCGGCAGAAGCCTCGTCGACAGTTGCAAAGTCGACAAAGCAGTAGTGATGGTTCCCCGGCATCGACCTCGTCGACTCGTGAGGAGTGATCCGTTTGCTGATGGCCACCCTGTTTCATCAAAATCGAGTCAGCGGCTATACGAACGGTGCCATACTGTGAGTTCTGCGGTGGTTTGGGTAAGGAATCTCACGGATCGAAACCGGTCAAAATTTCACGCATCTCATCTTGACTTTGCTGCTGATCGATCATTTTGGGCAAGCCGCCAATGTAAAGCCGCCTTCCATCGGTATCTGTGGCAACGACCTCGTCAAAGTGTTCGATGGCTCCGTAAGGGCCGTTCTCGATGCGGCGCTTATCGCCCTTGCCATTCTGCACTCCTCCCTCTTCCGAGTTATCTCCAGCCTGGCCTCTCTGCCCGGACCAGTTGCCCCATCGGTTGAAATTGGAATCCTTGTAGCTTGTCCAACGGTTTGCCTGCTGTCTCTTGGGCTCACAAGGGCCGACCTTGAGAGGCCTGCTGCGGATGCTTGTGTCAAGGGATGAAAGGGCCCGCTCGGCATCAGCGCGGGTCTTGAAGTCGACAAAGCAATACCCCGGGTTGCGAGCGGTGACGGGGTCCATCGAGATGTGAATCTTGTCGTACTCCGAGAAGCCGTTGTCCTTGAGCATCTCCTCGATTTCGACCGGCTGGACGATGTAGAGGAGGTTGCCAAGGTAGATGCGCCGGCCCTCGGCCAGAGCGATGGGCTGATCCGATGATCCTGATGTGGCCATAGTGCCAGTCCCGTAACCCGATGGAAGCAGAATTGACTTGAGCCGTCGGCCACGATCCCGAGTTGTGCGAGTAAAAATATGCGGGATGAGTGAGTCGAGAGGGAAAATCTGCCAAGTAGGTTGCATTGGACCCTGGAAACAGGGATCATGGCGGGGCGTTCCAGCGAAGCGATGGTGGGTAAGCCACCAGGGTGCAAATGCGCCAAGGTTCGCCTGTGCACGAGTCTCAAGGCATATAATATGGTGAAACTAGGTATGTACTCTGTAGTTTTCGGAGCACGTGCATAACTAACAATTACAAAGGTCTTTCCGAAACCCTATACTGATATATACTTAATATAAACCCATTCCCTCCTCAAGAGGGAAAGGGACAAAGACGCTAACAAGTACCACTCAGACTCACAAGCCTCGCTCCGGATCGTGGCTTACAGCACCGTGAAAGAGTCTTCAAATAACAAAAGATTGTTATCTGACATAGGCTTGTATCTGCAGCATCAAACAGCCGGCTTAGGTATATTTCAGTCTTGGATAGGTTGCGACGGTGGCCGTCCTCGCCTGCTGCTATTGGAGTTTGTCCTTGGCGTCATACACCTGCTCGATGAAGACTGTCTCCAGTATTTGGCGAGACAACTTCTTCAAGTTGGATTTGAAGTCTTGAATTAGGCTCTTAAACTTATGTTGCACTGGGTCCTCATAATGACGTGTTGGGGTCATCTTTGGTTTGGGAAGAATGATGTGAAAGACGGTTTATATTGAGGCAGCCTGCAGCCTTATAGGAGCCTGGCAAGTCTGCCTATGAAAACGTCCAACAGTACGGCAGGGGATGTGCATTATTCTGCTGTCATTGCGTGCCTAAGTCTATCTGAAAGTCCTTTAGGAACACAACTTCAAAACAACCCCCTATTTGTTCACACAATGAAGACTGTTTGTCTGTTCCCAATCAACTCGCTCTTCGGCAACTGCACGTCTTTCTTGTCAAAGTCGTGCAACATCAACCAGCAAATCATCCGAAAAACCAGTGTATACCACACAGCTACGCGTTGCATTTCAACATGTTTGGACGCAATCGTTGTCCAGCCGCGTTGTTTGGAAATGTGTTTCACCTTGGAGGTCCCTGATCTTTCGTGCTCTTCGGTCTCAGCTCGGTGAGGCCATGATTCTCTTTTGCTTATGCCGGGCGTAGGCGGCATTGGTTCGGTCTGGGATCCACCGATAATAGGGCTCGTTCCTAACATTGGTGCAAAAGCAGCGTTAGCGGAAAGTGGTTGATCATTTTCATTGTGAAGCTGACGTATTTCGGTGTCTTCGTGTATGGCCTGTGAAACGACTTCATCGTCCCTCTTGCTATTCTTGGCAGAACTTGTAGCTCGCCAGAGGATACTATTGAAGTACGTTTCCATGAACCTCCACTCCCTCATCTCCAGCGGTATGTCGAGTAGATGGTCGAAAGACACCCGAACCTCATCTCCAGAGACTGGGTTGTTGATGGCCGCCAACACTTCTTGGAGGTGACGGCGCATGACGTCCAAGACAATATCCTCTTCTACGAGCATGCCGTCTGCCATCACTATGGCTTGGTGGAGAGCAGTCATTCGGTCGCAACTTAGTCTCGGATCGTTCTTAACGGCATTGTGCAAAGCTTCGGCCGAGTCTGAAAGGACCTGAATATTTGTGATTGCAGTCAAAATCCCGCTTTCCATGGAATCGTCCGGAAGAATCTTCATCTCTTTGATTGCTTTGAGATCGTCGATGATGAAACTGCTAAATGCGGCAAGTAGCCGTGGAAGCGAAAACGATTCCCTGTCCCAAGGGAAGATGGTCGGATTGGGCAAAAAGCGGAAACACCGCTTGTCAATATGCAGAACTCTCGCGAGCATTCCGAGGACTTCAAAGGTGACTATCAACGATAGTGAGCGAACATCCAACCCAATTATGCAGAAGTTTACGAACCTGGGAAAAGATGACGGTGCTTCTTCCCCTCCGTGTAGTACAGCGTAGTGCTGCCGTTGCATCCAATCTGTGTGAGTGTCTCTGCAATCTCTTTGGTGCTGCCCATTTGCAGGATCTCAAGTTTGATCCCTGTCCCAGAAGAGGTCATGAGAGGTCTCTGCCACTCAACGTCCTCATCTTTATTGATCTTCTTTCGGAACAGTGTAGGAACTCTACCAAAACAAAGTTCCTTTACCTCTGACGTGGGTATGACTCGTCTCGCCTCGAATGCCGTGTGACCAGTCTTTTCGAAGACAAATTGGATGCCGAGATCGGGTATGCGAGAGCCTGTGAGGCTGTATCCGTTTCCTTCTGCGCGGTATTGATTGTTGTCTCGGTCAAACACTTTCCAGTAGACCCCCAGTATGGCCGCGAGTTCAACCATGTGAGATATTGTTGTTGTGGCGAACGGCTTCTTCATCGCCGGAACTGTGTCGAAACTTCGCTCTTTCGCTTGGATCATGACTGCCAAGGTTGGTTCTTGCGGGGAACTTTGCTCTTTGCCTCGGATCATTGCCGCAAAGGTTGGTTCCGGTAGATAAGTCTTGACGGTCTTTTGACGACTCTCATCCTTAATCTTCAGACTTTCCCAATCCTTCGAAACTTTTTCCATCGTCTCAATGGCGATCAATAGATAGACCCACGTCGCAAGCTCCATATCAACTGTGTGCACGGAGGAGTCCATACCTTCGGAACCTGAGCTTTTGGACAGGTCGGCGTAATCCAGGCGGTTCTTCTTACAACTCTCCATGGTGCCTTCGGCGGACCACATCTCACTATCTTCCGGCTTTTTCGTGTTTTTCGGAGGAGCAAGAAAAATGACAGGCGCTTCAAACCTGACCTCCAGACGCAGATGCTTGAATTTGGGCCTGATTTTTGTACCTCTGGACCATTTTCCCATCACAACTTCGTTGCAGTTCGGAAGTCCTCGAGCTGATGCGAAAATTGCCTGCAAGATTTGCAGTTCGGCTGCGAAGAGTGCTGCAATTGCAATCACAAGAGCTGCGATGGCAACGGGCTGCTGGCTGTCATCTTCGGCCATTTTGAACCAGAGTACGGCAAGGCACCTGCTGCCTTGGAGATTACGGTCGATCAGGAGTAGAATAGATCAGATGGAATAGAGTCATGCCTCAGCCGAGGAACACGGAACTCCGGGATTCGCCAGTCGTTGGTTTATGTCCCGATGCAGATCAGAGACGGACGCTTTGGTAACAATGGTGTTGAATGCCGGCTGCGGCCATCGAACGTATCATTCACTAAGTTCGTATCTCTTGGATATCCGGCTACTTCAAAGAAATCAGGGTTTGCGGAAAGAAACTAAAGATAATGGGAGGAGCAGCAGGAGAGACGAGGCCATGATAAACTAATACCTAGGTTTATCAACTCCCGCTGATTTTCTCACTTGCCCGAAAGGAACTGTGACTGCAGCTGAGTATCGCTTACGCGGCATCCCTGGTGAGTTCACGTCATGCAGCCCAAATCAACTGATGGCGCACCTGGAAAGAGAGACTGCAGCTTTCCACTCTTTGCCCTTCGCAGCCTGCTTCTACGGATGCTCGCCCGTGAGGGCAGCCATTGGCCGCCTTCTCCTACCGTTTCCTGCAGTGTAACCAATACACTGACAGGCTGACGCACCAGCGTCATCATGTCTCAGCCATTGAGCAGGGCAGACTTTGAAGAAATCGCTCGTCACAAATCCGCCTCGTAATTTTCAATCAGGCTGCGCTGACCCTCCCTTGCATGAGGTTTTGCTTAAGACACAGATTGGCCAACTAGCTAGAACAAAAGGGTTTACAATCAAAGCCACCCTGTATTCTTGCGAGATTGGAATCGTTCCCCCCGTTGCTGAGAGCTTTTTTGTGCTGGTTTAATTCGCCTAAGCAAAACTAGAATGTAATACAAGTCTATCAGAGAGAGTACCCGAGCAGAAAATCTGTGCATGCTAACCTTAAAACCTGGGATGACAGGGTCTTTATTTGAGACGAACATATGGAGTAACTAATCAAGGTAATTATGTAACTGGAACCTTGTCAAGAGTTACCACGATGAGTTACGTCTTACATTCAATGCAAAACAGCACTCAGTCAAGCAATCCATTCAATTCATGTGCTAGTCATTCTTCGCGATGAAAACAAGCATACGTTACCTCTTGAGCATACCATGTTCACTTGAATGGCTTGATGAATTCTCCATCTCATCAGGCAGATGTATGTAATTCCTGCCTTTACGATCTGCCTCCTGCCTGAACTCTGAGACGATCACCTCCTTCGTTTGTATGATTCCATCCATATGTCCCATCTTGTGCCGCGAGTTCATAAGAAAAGATTCATCCTGGTTGGTGCGTATAACCGTAGACCGGTGACTCGTCAATACGTTGCTTTCTCGACCGTAATGATTAAGCCCTGATGGATACCCGTAGGTCTTCACTGTTGACTTCGCTTTCCTTGTCTTGTTCCACAATCCATATAGGGTTGGGGCATTTACGACGATAGCGGCGGTCAGCAATTCAGTACTGGCCCAGGTCGTTCGGTTGACCTGGCTATCCTTATTCGTGACATTGATCGGAAGACGAATGACGGTTATGGCGATGATGAAAATGCCCAGCGTGAAAAGAGTGTAAAGCTGGAGCTTACGTTGCCAAGGAGTCTTCAGTGAGAAGACCAAAGGTAGTGGCAGCATAAGGAGCATAAAGTCGGTGACGATATTAAGAACGCCGACAACTACAAGTTGCATCTGTGCCTTGGCACATGAGCCTGCAAAAACTGAGATTTAGCAATGCCTCAAGCCACACATCGGAGAATCAGCTGGTCACATACCTGGGTCAGGAATAACCTGCCAGTATAAGTGGAAGGGATCGCATTCACTGAATGTCGTCACCTGACAGGCGGCATAGGTGCCGAAAAAGATGACACCGTAGGACCACATAACAAATGTTTCTTGACGGATGGTCGATATCAGCCGACGATAGACGTCCAGCAGTACAAGCTTCTGCAGCCACAGACTTGAGACAACATGTTAGTAAAGCCAATTCCAAGGCTGGGAACATCTCCACGACATAGTTGGTATGCACTCGTGGGGATGTAAGCACCTGTTGAGTTCAGGGTGGTTGTAGCGCACAGCGACGACGTCGGAGGAGGGGAACTGACTAAGAGTTGTAAAAGACCCGGTTGACAATGGACAGCTTGCTGCCAATCTCCCGCCTGTAAACCTCTTCGTCGGTAAAGGTGTGAGTTTTACGATACGACGCAGACACGTTGTTTGTGCCCCAGGTCAAGACGACATGAATGAGGCCCAGCCGAGTCATAACGCAGACGATGGCCGCGAGGGTGAACCAGTCACCAATGTTGAACTCTTGCTTAGCAATCTTCTTCCACACCAATCTGACCATCATGACTGAGAAGGCCAGGCAGCTAAAGAACCAATGAATGAAAAGCGTCGGGTCGTCCATGACCGGCAGGGTTTCGAAGCGCCTGGACGCATGTATGCCAGCGTCGGGGATAACGGGAAAGGGGATAAAACAATATAAAAAAGAGAACTAGAGGAGCCGTTTAGGAGGAGCACGGAAGGGGGCGGATCACGATCATTATTACCTCCTGCTTCTTTCCATCCACAAGAGCTAGACTGAGAAAACAGGGAGCTGGGGTTCAGATTCGTACATGGTACAGCACATGATCTTCAAGATCCTAGTCGTCCGAATAGATGGCCAATATGGTCTTCGCATCGGCACCACCCTGAGCAATGTTCTCGGCTTGACTATCCTCCACACAACACACATGGAAAAAGCGACGACTCCAAATGAATAGATCAGGGCTTTAATTCTCGCCTCTTGGATCCTACCATATCCTGTCTTCAGGTGCGTGCTGTCCTGTGTTCAATAGGCCGATGACCTTATAGAAGCCGAAGAGGGTGCCGATTTACTGGAGCGACAACCAAGATTCCGGTTACTGTCTGTAGTGCTGCAGATTACCGAAGGACTTGGAACGCACCGAGTGCGGTATGCACTTCCACTCCCCCAGATACCGGAACGGTGGTGATAGTTGGCAGCTACAACTCCGAAGGGTTGCATGTCTTTTGCTGTTGGCTGACCAAACCCCACTGGACGAACTAAATGCTGTGCTGAACCCCCCTGACAGCATCTGCGAACTTGAAAGTCGGGAAACAACATTGGGGCAAAGCCTCTAGGAAGAAATGGGATAGGGTGACCGTTAGTCCATCACTGACTAAGTCAGCCCCCCCCCATTTCGCGCTCCCCTACATTTCGCGCACTTTTCTACCTAAACCCTAGTGCTTTACACCTTTATATAAATCTTATCTCTTTATAGAATAACTTATAACTTTCTATATAAATAGATATTTAGTATAAGTATAAGTATAAAGTTTTTAAGTTTTAAGTTTATAGTTAAACACTATTATATAATACTATTTACTTACCTTTATAGTATTTACTAGGAAACTATACTTATTTTTTCTTAAATATATACTGATAAAACTTAAAATCTACTTAATTTTAAAATGTGTTTAAGAAATAATAAGCTTAAAGTAGTTAAAACTAGCTTTATATCTATATAAATAAGTCTAAAAATCTAAAATTACTTAAAATAAATCTTTAGAAAATAAAATTTCTTAGGACTTTTTTAGTACTTTTATATTAAATAAGTACTATAAAGTAAAAAACTATAAAACTTTATATTTAGTATTTAAAAACTATTTAAAAAATACTAGCTTTAATAGTATAATCTTACTTATAGTATATTTTACTATATTAGTAAAACTTATATATTTATATAATCTCTAATAACTTATTAAGTATATATAGTATAAGTATATAAACTTTATTATAAAATAGTTTATTATTTTCTTTACTTTATACTTCTTTATTTGCTCTTCTAGGGCTACTCCCTAATTTATAAAAGATTTAAAACAGAATGCGCGAAATGGGGGGGAGCGTGAAATGGGGGGGGGCTGACTTAGCAAGGTCTAATCAGTACAGCCGCAGCCAGCCGACTTGCGCTACTTCAGAGAACAGGCTTGGCGAACGAAACTCTCGGCGGAAGCCCGATGATCTGAAATGGAGCATGGTTGTACCAAGATTATCGTAATCAACACTCCGCCCCGCTGGTCGATCAAAAGCCCTGGAGCCATGTTGGAACTCACTTGCCTTCAGACATGCTGCCTGGCACATGGCAACTATCCACAGTACGACATCAGTTTGGCCCCCAAGATGCGCCCCAGTGTGGCGCTGGAGGGCATTTCAGAGACATGCATAGTACGTGCAGACAGAATCGAACTCCCTTGCCTGTCATCAGACGTGCTTCTCTTCTTCTCGCTTGACCGCGGATATTAAGTCTCGATCCTTGGCATTGCTTTAGTGAAAGGTCAATATCCACGTCTGCTCCATTCTAGTTGACCCTTACTCTATCCCGATGTGCGAGTGCCTCGTCCTTGATGAGGAACTAGCTTGTGTAGCAGCACATATATCAATCCACCTCTTTGGTATACGCAGTTCAACTTCTTTTTGATGGAGAAATGTTCGAACAGGAAAGCTATGCGGCACCCTTGTTATTATTATCCCCCCCCGGCAGTTTTACCCTTCTTTGACCATGAGTATGTCCCGTTAGAGGGACTATCATCTCGGTACTGTTATGGTAAGTAAACCCACCACGCTTTTTTTGCAAAACCGGATATTAGCCGTATGACGTTCCTGAATCGCCTTCTGTGGAGGACTGCTAATCCGACAAACAACACGGACTGAAGCGGGTGGATGCCGCTCATTAGCGTTCAGGACGGGCTTGATGTCGTATCTTACTATCTTACAAAGCACCGATGACCTGCTTCAGTCAGCCTTATCCTTGAAACTACCCGAGGATGGACTCTGTGTGCGCTGCTAGGCCTAGCGGTGGACGTACGTAACAAGGGTTCTTTTATTCGTTAAAGAAGCCCAAATACCAGCTTCACCCCGATGTCGTTGGTGGAAGTTGAGTCTCCCCCCTGTTCACCAACCGCCGTCGCTCTTTTTCCTATCGTTCCCAATTCCAACACGCT